CCTTCTTATTTCAACCCCCTCAGAAAAATAAATATGTTTGAACCTTGAACACTGTGGAAGTCATTTTGGTCTGATTTCAACTTGGCAAAGACAGAGATTGGATTACCATATGAACTCACTCCACATATGCAAGTAGCACGACAAAAGCAAAGGATATGTATTTGTCACTAACCAAACAAATCATCTCCAATCCATGCAGTACTGTATAATTCTGTTCTCATACAGATGTAATAAACAAAGACCAATGTCATTATCATGGACCTTTTTTCATTGAAGCATTCATCAGTCTACAAATAATAAACAACATTACACAACAGCCCGGCATTGTGCAAGTGTATCATGCCTTTTTCAAAGTGTAATGAATCTCAGTTAATTTTGTTCCAATTAGTCCATGTTCCAACTGCTGAGAGTTTTATCCCATTTCACTTGTTTACAGCCAATCCCAATGTTCTAGTGTTCTTTTTTAAGACTATTGCTGACTTTATGTGTCAGTTTAACCACTTTTGAGCTTAGTGAGTTAAATATCCGTAACTGATGTTCTCAAGTGTTCACAGATTGCTACATCACTCAGAACTTAACATCTGTCTCATGGGAGAACACAACAAATGAAAGCAAAACAGACTTAGAGGCAATAATTGTTTTTTTCCCTTGAGTGAATACATTATAGAACTAATCGTGCAAAAATAAGTCTAGTGGTGATTTGCATGGCTAAAAAGCTGGCACTTCTTAACAACTGCCGTACTAGTGTCTGCAATTTTTTTCCAAATGTCAAAAGTTCACCTGAGTAGAGTTAAAAGTGCGCTGGTCTTGGCTGTGACAGTGTGTTTTATGAGCAGTTTTCGCACGCGCCTGCAGAGAAAGACAAACAGGATGGCCCCTCTCCGATGACCTGGATGAAAGAGATTGTTTCCTGACACAGTGTGAGTGCGGCTCTGAAGAGTGCGCTGGGCAGTACAAACCTGGGCTTAAAATGTATGTAACTGTAAAACTACACTTGGCTGGAATCTCTCTTGAAGTTAGAGTGGTACAAATGATGGAATGTCTAAAGCAACTGTTACCAAATAGAGCATTTTTACAGCAGTGTTATATGTCCATAAAAATGCATTAGCAAAAACAATGTATTAAACAAAACAGCAGTGTGGAACAACCTGATAAGCTTCTGGCATATGCAATTATCACTCTAGAATGAATGTGTTAGTAATTGGCATTTTACATCTCGATTGGTTTAACATAAGGTCGTCTGAAAATACTATGAGGTATGACTTAATTCTAATCGAGAGAAACGTTCAAGTGCAGTGGACCAGCAATGATACAAATTATAGGACCTCCATTGCAGAGTAGCTTGTGTTACATTGATTAAGTTCTCTCTAAAGGCTAGATTTAAAAGTGAATTTTGCCAACTGAAGAGGCATATATTAACACATTTTATAATTTATCAAAAATAATAGAACTGTAGTTAAGTTCTTATTCATATATTTGCAAAACTATGAAGTCATGTTTGCAGCAATTAGATCTACAATTACAAGTTGCTATGCCAGAGTATTCAGCTGCCCCTCATCCACTTCCATGAACAGGCCCAACTGTGAGCGTGTGAGTCACTTTGTAGCACCAGGCCAACTCCACAGTCCCAGATCAATGTAAGAGTGAATAGTGACAGAGCATGTGCAGCGTTTCCTTGGAGAACACTAATAATAATAATCATAATAATAATAATAAAGTGTTGCAGGGTGTGGAACTCGCTGATGCAATTTAGAGCTATTTTTAAATACCTAGAACCTTTTGACCATTGTCCCAACTTAAATAAAAAAAAAAAAAAGTGGTCTGTTAATCTCATCTGAGTTTGTCAATGCAAAGGACACATTAATGTAATCTTTGGGTAAAATATGGCCTTCCACATGGCTATTTATCACTATTTTGCTCCATGCATAAAAGATTTGAGAGTTGTTCTATCACACTGGCGGTGGTGGGCATTTAAGTGTGTACTAAAAACAGACAGCAACACAATGATAGTTCCCAAAGCAAAAGCATTCCTGAAAGCTTGTTGAGATCTTCCATTTTGTAATTTTCCTTATCTTGTGGTTCAACTGTGGTACAAGTGGCACAGAAAAAAATGCCTAAACACCTCATACCACACATGCAGTTCAAATACCAGTTCAAACTCTATACATTGAGCTAAACAGCCATGATTCATGGGCTGAGGCAAACGACTCCTACACCACAGCAGATCTCCCAGTTCTCAGGTCAGGCTATCCCACACTGAACCACTGGACATGTTTTTGTGAATAAACATGTTTAAAACAGTTCAAGTGGATCAAAAAGAAGATGGACCTCACAAAACGTCAACCACAACTCAAATTATACTCAGCTTTGATCCTATCCACAGGAAAAAAAAAAGAAATTTAAACTATAAAAATTAAAGAAAATCCCAAATGAGTCAAAAAATATACATCGTGCTCCAACCATACTCTCTAGCAAAGGTCAAGAGATTGTTTACTTACCGAATCTCTTGTATCCAAAAGATTGTACTTCCTCCTCGTCTGCGAAGTCGTCTGTGTGACATAATCAGAAACATATGATAAAAATAGGTCATACACTGGAGGAAGGTTACATTAAGCAGTTGGTAATACTCCAGGTGATTCTAGAATCAAAGGCTAAGGCCAGGCCAGGACAGATGGAAATAGTGAATCATTCAGATGAAGCTAGATGAATATACTATGAAATATAATGTACTTCAATCAGGATATCCTTGGTTTTAGCCATGTTTGTTACAGCTACAGCACTAATGTTCAAAGTGATCAGAAAACAAAACTATTATTAGACTAAGATAATTCATTCTGTCTCTTTGTCCTGTTGAGACCTTTACTTGGTCAGAAGCAAATCATAACACAGTAATTCATGAGAGCAATTCTGCTATGCATGGTGAGCTTTGAGGAATATTGTCAGCTCCAGTGTTGTGTGGAGAAAGGAAGTCCACAGGCTGCAGTTTCTCTGGGCTGTTGACAGTAAACCCTAATTACACTGAACTACACTACTCTGAGGACTGGAGAGCAGAGGAGAGGGACATCACTGCTAATGGTGAACAGATGGGAGTAAACAGAGTAGTGTGGCCGGAGTGTGGTAGGTAAAAACAGACAGGAGATAGGGGGAGATGATGTGCACAGGGGGGTTTACTTGTACATATATATTTAAATAATTTATATAATTGTGCCTTATTTTACACCAGTCTTTTGCTACATATTTAGAATGTATTATTACCATTTATATTTTTGCTCTTTGTTATTATAATATATTATGATGTGTGAGCTAATGTGTTCAAGTAATTTTATTTGTGGATCAATAAAGTTTTTCTAAGTCTAAGTCTGGGTTGTCCACTCCATGCATTTACATTTGTACTTTAAAAAGTATAATAAGTTACGTAGATTTAAAAAAAAAAAAAAAAAAAAAAAAAAAAAAAAAAGTGGCTTTAGCATTTGCTACCTGTATTAACATCACAATGAAGGTGTCCGCACATGCAATTATGCTGATGTATACTGACTAATCATTTTCAATATTATTATTAGGCCTATTAGTAACTTATAAATAGACCTAATCCAAATTTACTCATGCGCATACCTTTCATGGCGTTTTATAACTTGTGGGCAGGATGAGCGAAGATGTCCACTGTCACTTTCTGCACATCGCAGCATTTAGAGAAAGTTGTCAACTTCTCTTCTTGACCAAAAATCACGTGAATTTCTTCTGAACACTAAAAGTATGCCATCTTCTTTCTCGGCTTAAAATCCAGATCGCGTGTGTTCTCCGGGTGTAGTGGCTCTGTGGAGTGCAGGAGAGATGTGCGGGACTGTCCAGCGGTGCGCAGCTCAACAGGGCTGCACAGCTGTACGCGTTTGTCACGGGTCTGTCAAGTTAACGTGGAAAAACATGCACTTCCGGTGCAGCTGCGGATACAGAACTAACCCTGCCACCATCACCCATCACCACTGTGCTTCCATTCGTAATTATATGGCTATAAGTGTCTTGGTCAATTCCACATGCATCTATAATCATAGTACCAACATGTTCACCAGGCTACGTGCAGCAAATGAAACCAACTGTTTTGGCTTTAGAATGGCATATGAGGCTCTAGCAGCTCTGGAAAAGTAACTTGACAAATCTAACTAGCACAGCTGAACCAGCCCAAGTCTGCGCAATGCCCATGCGAGTATTACCAGTTTCCCACTGGCCCACTATCTCAAGGTGAGTTGATTACATATATAGTGTTCCTTTGTACATCTTAAACAACAGGGGAAAAAAAACTATTTCAAGTGATTTGGCGTATCTGAGGGTAAATGTCTCGCAGGCACATTCAGAGTCTCCTGCTGGTTCCAAGCCATAAGATGTCTGTTCAGATTACACTTTCACCATCTGTCCCGCTGTTGTTTATAAAATAGCAAGAAACATCAGTTGTACATAAACTGTTTTTCATGTGGGTGTTAGGCTGCTGCATTCCCTTTGGCAGACGTAAACTCTCAAAGATTTAGCACCACCTAGTGGTAGAAAAATAAAATTGTCAATTAACAGTTGCTGATAACAGCAGCCTCTTAAAATTTACTTGAATTGAAGATTTTGAAAGAAACTGCACAAAGCATTAATACATGCAGCCTCGTATATCTGAGCGGCGTTGAACAACATCACTATAATTTGCATTCACTATTTGACTACATGCATTTCTATTTCTCTGTTATTCACGATATCCACTTTGCAAACTGCAGCCATACACATTAGTGTGTATGGTGAAGAGTTTAGGCTGGAAATGTGCTGAACTGTCAAAGTTTTTTGTTTTTTTTTTTTCCCGCGTGAATGACGTCGACGCGGAAGCACCTCCTGCTTATTATTGGCTGTTCACGATCTTGGGGGAGGTCTTGTGTTTGTGGAAAGAAATTAGCCGGGAAAGTCTTTCAGAAGCGTTGCAAAGGTAAAGTTCGTTTGCTTTCGAGGTTACAGAAATAGTGCTAAGAAACATGCCCGCTACTTCTGAAATCCACTCAGAACAGCTGGTGAAGGATGTAGCAGAAGGGGAAAAGACAACTCAAACTTCGGAAACTAAGAGCAGTTTCGGAATATTTAGTGATGAACAAGGTTATCTGGATCTCATCCGGTACATTCTGCAGCACGGCCGCAGAAAAGGCGACAGGACGGGCACCGGGGTCATCTCCATGTTTGGGGCACAGGCGAGATACAGCCTCAGAGGTGAGGATTCATGTAATATGATGTTATTATTATGTTTTCCTCAATGAGAAGAATCACCATTTTATCAGTTCCCCTTAATGTGTGTAAATGAAGCTGATAATTTGAATAAAACAGAAAATCCTTCATGATTAATTTCTCAGTTCATTCATTAGCAGACAGTGACAGACATGACTTGAATGAATAATGTAGCGTACACTGTCCTCTGTTGGTGTTCTAACGTAGTACATCTATCACTGCATTAACTGCATCTTTTCACAGATCAGTTTCCACTTTTAACCACCAAGAAGGTGTTTTGGAAAGGCATACTTGAGGAACTCCTTTGGTTTATTAAGGTGAGTGACTTTTTTTTTATATTGCTATTTTACTTGTTTGTTTTTGTTCCTTTATAACTCACTGATAAACATTGCAGGGATCGACCAATGCCAAAGAGCTCTCTGCAAAAGGGGTGAAGATTTGGGACGCCAATGGTTCTCGTGACTTCCTGGACAAGGGTGGGTTTACTGACCGAGAGGAGGGAGACCTTGGGCCGGTTTATGGCTTTCAGTGGAGACACTTTGGGGCGGAGTACACAAACATGCATGCAGGTACGCTATCCACCCTTATTCGTTTCATTTTACATTCTTTTGTATTTCAAATTAATATTATTTTAGTGAGTGAAACTGACACATATTTTTTGTCCTTTTTGACAGATTACACGGGACAAGGTGTAGACCAGCTCCAGAAAATAATCAACACCATTAAAACAAATCCAGAAGACAGACGGATCATAATGTGTGCCTGGAACCCTAAAGGTTAATAATCCCATTCATTAATCCAATATTGTTTTACTGAGTATTACAATATATATATATATTTTATATTTGCAGACTTGCCACTTATGGCTCTGCCTCCATGCCACGCTCTTTGTCAGTTCTATGTGTGTGATGGCGAGCTGTCCTGCCAGCTTTATCAGCGCTCTGGTGACATGGGTCTGGGAGTACCTTTCAATATTGCCAGCTATGCACTTCTAACATACATGATCGCCCACATCACAGGACTAAAAGTAAGGCTGAATTTGTTTGTCTCTGCATTGAATTAAAAGCCGTAGGTGTGTATAATGTATTTTCTTCATATTTATTCTTTCAGCCTGGAGATTTTGTTCACACCTTGGGAGATGCTCACATCTACGTCAATCACATAGAGCCTCTTAAAATACAGGTGGGTTATTTGGAAAGAGTATTGCACGTTATCAGCTTCAGTACCGATGTTAACAACTTCATTTTGCAGCTTGAGAGAGAAATCCGTCCTTTTCCCAAACTCAACATCCTTCGAAAGGTGGAGAGTATAGATGATTTCCGTGCTGAAGACTTTGAAATCTGTGACTACAACCCTCATCCCATCATCAAAATGCAGATGGCTGTTTAAAATCAAACTAAATCTTTGAAGCAGTGGAAAGTGTAACATTTTTGACAAAAACATTCTCTTTTGTTTATGTGTAAATCTTGGCATATTAAGGGTATCCTGATTTTATATTTGTTAATGTTATCTTGTGTTTATTTGTAAATAAAAGAACTTTAGGCTATTTTGGCTTCCACACTTCTCCATTTGGGTATTGGTGTTTAAGGACAGAGGACTCCACCATCTCAGACGAATATCCAGGACTCTGGAAAGAACAGTGTTGGTATTTCTGTTGTCATAGTCTTAAACTATATTAAACCGATATTTTACCTTTGGTGGAATGTAGTGTGCATTTTCAATTATAACTGGGCATGTGAAATGCTCATGTAGATGGTCCACATATTCACACATTCTATAAACAAATCATTTTTTTTTTGTTAGTTTTTTTTTTATTAAAAAATTTAAACTATTACCTGTTATTGAGGTCTGCAGATATGCAGATGTAGTCAAATAAGATTAAGTGCTGGACAAGTTCACACAGGCCAACGCCTCCCGCGTGTGGACAGACTGGCACTAGAGAATCACATTAAATATTTTGCAAGCTAGTTTTAAACTTTACTTTTTACATTTTAGGTGTTGTACCTGTAAATTTGTGTGCCATCAGCATCACAGCAAGGTTCTCATTCACGCTGCCCAGTCGACAGCTGTCTATCTGGACAAACTGCAAAGCTGAAGCCTGGAGAAACTGCTTAAACATTACTCTGTTGTGACACTAGAGAAAAATCAACATGTCAGTGAAATGCATTGAAATTTTAGACATAATTTACACAGCCTTAATCTGACCTGCTCCCCTGAAGCAACGCCAATTCCCAGTGGAGCCAAAGCCTAACAAAACAAAAGCAGTTTCAACCATAGTGTTAAAAAGGTCTGTTAATTTAGTTTATTCTAGTCAAAATGAAGGCTCTTTACATCATGCATCCTATAATAAAAGTAGCTAAATAAAAATGAAATTGAGACTGTCATCTATGATCTATGCATTGTACAAAGCATGCTGCACTCTCAGCTAATGCAGATGCTACTGACAGGGTCACTTCTTTTCATTCAACCAGGCACATTTTGTAGGCTTACTAAAATGATGGGAAACTGCCTGGCACTATCTTCATGACTTCCCGGTCACGGTGTATTATCTACAGTGAGAAAAGGGCTTAAAGTAGGTGGAGATTGGAGAACTGTATGCAAACAACCAGATGAGACTATGCCACTTGCTTCTACGTCATTATGCAATATCACAGAGGCAGAAAGGACCAAGTGAGCACACTAACATTTCCAACTAAAACATGTTCCTAACTCATGGTTCAAAATCAGGTACTGGCCCTCTAAGTATTAATAACAAAATGAAGGCTATAATCCAGTCTCACTTTGGAGATGGCAGCGTGCCCCAGGATGTCATCAGGAGAAGTGGGCTCCTCAATCCACAAAGGTCTGAACTCGGACAGCTTGGACACCCATCTGATCGCCTCGGACACGTCCCATCTCTGGTTGGCATCTATCATCTACACACAAGTGTTGACAATATAAATATACTGTAATTTGTAAAGGTTGTAAAATAGATAACATTTACTTGAGTAACTTTTTGAAGATATTATATTTGATTCTTTATACTTCATGTAAGTCCTAAGTAATTAAAAATTTTAGGAAAATACCATCACTTTTGAACATATTTTTGTCTTGTCTGACTGACTGTATATACATCAGATAGTAATTACCCAGTACTTAAAGTTGCACGGCACAACTTTTCTGGCCTCCATAGAGATGTTATTGCTTGGAATGTTCCATGGTATGGCATTAAACATATCTAGCATTTATTTATCACTGGTGTTGTTTCTGTTGCTCAAAAATGCAATGATTCCTTCAATGAATGGGGCGACTCTCCACAGATCTCAACTGTAATGTAGCGTGCTGTAGCCTGCTTGCCTTCCTTGTGACAGGTCTAATCTGTACTGTGGAAAGCTATAACAGTTTCATGGAGATAAGCAGGTGACCCTCCACTAGAAATATTACACAGTGCACCCGTAAGTGGTATTTTTCATTGATTCTTTTATTCTTTCTTTTGGCCTCTAATATCTTACCAGTGTATTTTCTGGTCCAATCATGTCCCTTATGAGACGGCAGCGACGTTTATCATCCTCGAGATCTGCCCCAACCTTCACTTTAAACTTGGTCCAGCCGCTTTTAAGAGCATCTGTGCACAGCTTAAGACCAAACATGTTATTCAGACCTTTAATGTAATAGGTTATTGATTAGATTATCATTACCCGTTTGAGCTGCTCATCTGGGTATCCTAGCCAGGCGCATGACGTTGTGTATGCAGGATAGCCCTCTTTCAGCATCTGCTCCTCTGATAGTGTACATAGGTAATGAATATGATAAGTATCTTAATAGAGTGTCCATTGGAGCACAAGAGCTCATTATACAGGGTTAAGAGGCTGTTAAATTCTGCAAATCGTCTCTTTTAGTCTATTCACCTCTCTGCCGTTTGCCCTCTTGTGCTTTCATCAGGATGTCTGAATGAGGTAAGCAAAATGGCTTTAAGGAGAGAGCACTTCTTTCAAGTAACGTCAATGAGTTACAAATCAGCCTCACCCAAAGCCTCCTCTTCTGTCAGTGCATCAGTGATGTATCTGAAGTCGATGCATGACACAATCTGCTTTGGTTCCTGAATGAACAAAAAGGATGGGATTTTCTCTTTCAAATCCACATTCATCTCTCACATACAGTAAATCTCTGAGACTCACCATGTCAACCAGTAGCTTCCACAGAGGCTATAAAGAGAAACAGGTGTAATGCTGTCATGAACATGTTTGGTTTGTATGTGTTTATATTGTTGAAATATTACTGCACCTTTCCTTCAACTCGTGCCCACAGGTCCCATACAGCATTCAGGACAGCAGCTGTAGCCAGATGCATGACCCCTTTCTCTGGACCCAACTGTTAAACATCTGCATTACAATTTAGGCTACAATATAAATAACTTAAGTGGTAAATTCAGCCATAAATTCAGAATCTACCCATCTCATCTGGCTGTCACTGCTCAGGAGGCGGTAAAATCCTCGAAAGTCACCTACAATATCTTGTAGAGACTTTCCAATGACCAGGCTTGACAGAGATTTCACTGCACAAACCACTAAAGAGAGAATAAAACTTTGTTAGTGGTATATAAAAGCTATAATAATAGTATCCTAATAAAAAGAGTACTATATGTAGTAGTATGTCTTATATTTAAATTTGAGGCTATTGTATCACCAGTAGATGGCAGTAAGATACAGATTTTACTGCGCTTAATGCCGTCCACAACATTTTATTGAATTCATACAACAACAACAACGCTAGTCTAGTTCAACAAAGCAGAAGTCTAAAGTCCTACCAATGTCTGTGCCTTTTCCTAGAGTGAATGTGAGGCCAAACCCTTTCACATTACAGTCTGTATTAATAACAACATATGCAGCAGAGTAATCCGGATCAGTGTGCTGCAAAGAGAGAAACATGTGCAGTTAACACACTTATTAAGGCGTTATGGACAGCTATGGTTATAGATGGTGCAAATGTTTGGGACTCCTGACATGAATTTGGTTGTAGCGCCTGCAAAACAAACTCAGAACTCACCATAGCATCTGAGCCATGCTGCTCCGAAGACGTCGGGAATCTCACGTCTCTGACAGTCAAGTCAATTATTTTATGGAACATTTTGTTGATAAAATGATTTGACTTCAACTCTGCTTCTTCAAACTTGCTACGCTTGCTGGACTCGATCCCGCCCACCTCCGGCTGTCATTGGTTAACAAAACAAACGCACATTTAAAGAGACAAATAAAACAAGCACAACAGAAACAGATCGTGTAAAATGAAGTTTTATTCTAAAAACGATTTACCCCCACATGTTCCCATTCAATTGGAGTATAATATGTAATGCAGTTATAAAAAAGGGTAGGCTACTTTGTAATATACAAAGCCACAAAATCAGTCATTCATCAAAAATGGTCATAATACTGCAGTTTAGAAAGGAGAAAATGGAAATATCTAACATAGTATAACTAACATCTAAGATCCCATGAGACACATTTAGGCTTGCTTGTATTCCACAGTAAAAACACAGTAGAAACACATTAAATGATGTGTACATTATGGTTGGTCATGATTTCAGTTCATAAGGGTCATCAAACTCTCTCCACTTTGTCAGCACTTCAGCTATCAGGCTGAGGTCAGACTATACCGCCGATAGTGAACAATAAGGACATTTGCAAATCTGGTAAAAAACAAAACAAAACGTGTGATATGAAAGCTGAAAATGAATGAATGAAGTGATTAAATAACAGGAAAAAAGGTGGAATTCTAACAGAAAAATTGCACCTGTGTACATGTGAGGTTAGCCAATAAATAATTACCATTGAACTAAACTTTGGTGATATATAATTTTTGCCAATAATTTAACTTTTAATTTAATACATTTTTGATCTAATATATAAGTTACTAATTATTACTGTAAGTAAGACATGATCACAGCTTATTTCACATACTGCACATCCTCCTCACAAAATGCCAGTAACATTCAAAACACATGTCCTGCTCAAGTACGCATGGATATATGATTTGTGACGTACCATAAATAATAAAAACATACGAAAACGAAATGTGGCGAACAATGGACACAGGCGATACATCAGGTAGTGGTTGTTGACTCTATGCTATTTTCAGTCATATGTATTAGTGTTATAGTTGATATTTTTTCCCCTTAACATAGAGGTACAATTTGGGCAGGGCGGTTATAAGTTCTCCCCGGGCTGGTACTGTGGCTCTGTGGCTGTGAAGTAGTCCTCCAAAAAGGACTGGATGTACTCAAAGGTGGGCCTCTCGTCCGCCTCTTTCTTCCAGCACAGCTTCATCATCTCATGCAGAGACTCTGGGCAGCCCTGGGGACAAGGCATGCGATAGCCCCTCTCCACCTGCTCCAGCACCTCCCGGTTCACCATACCTGAAGAACATGGTATTTATAAGAGGGTTATAGGAATAAAAAGGGTTGTGTAGAGTTGCACTGTTTATAATAATTAAATAAATATTTCTAAGCTTATCAAAGAAAGAAGACAGGAAAACATATTCAAAATTGAGACAAATTATGTAAAATTGTTTTAAGTTATGTTAGCATTCCCTCATTATTTGTTCACTCAAAGTAGTATTTGGATTGCTTCATATATGTTTGTGTAATGATACAATGTCTTACATTTAAGGTTTGAGTGAATTTTAGATTTCACTTACCCCAATCCCCACTCACATCACTGTATTAAGCTGCATTATTGCACTGTTGTTTTTTCTTCAAATTACAATTCACAGAGTTAAAAATGTTGTGTTTTAGATTAATATTTCAGTTATAATAAACAAAATGTACAATGATGATACATTTATGTATAGTTAAATATTAAGTGCCTCATTTGCATTACGTCTTGTTTAAATAAAAATTCATCAATATCCATAACAAAGACAAGAGTAAAATTTTACAGACATTGGTAAAAAATGGTTGTTCATGGCAACATTATAAAACCCCTTAATATAATCTAGGTCAGAATAAAAGAAGATATTTAATTTAAGAGGAAAACACCAGTATTAATTACAGTTTCCCTAATGAGTGCATAGCAGATTTATTAAAACTCAAAATATTTGTGGGTGCAGTCGAGCTTGAGGCATACATCCCAAGACGGTATCAGTCTGGCAGATGGCAATAAACAACAGTGGTGCTCAATCTCCTGCTCGTCCCCCAACAGATGGTTCAATCTAATCTCCCATGTGCGTGTGAGGGAGGGCTCGGTAGCGCCCCCTCCCAAGCAGAGGCACCAACAACCAGTGCAAGCTATGTGGGACAGCTTCACTTCATCCTCTGACATTAACAAGCATGCCAGCAGGACGTCTAATGGCCGGCCAAGAACTGATAAGACCTGACATAAATCTCCCTTTTGCTATGTTTTATTCAGCCCCAGTGTTTTGTCTCTTACCTGGGTAGGGCACTCTGCCTTTGGTGACGAGCTCAGTGAGTAAGATGCCGAAGGACCAGACGTCGGACTTAATAGTGAAGCGGCCATACAGGGCTGCCTCTGGAGCTGTCCATTTAATAGGGAATTTAGCCCCTGGAGAAACAAAAAAAGTTATAAAAAGCTCCACCAGAGGGCAAATGTCTCATTGTGTCTAGAATTCCATGCAACAATAACTGAGAAAGAATGACTCAAGAGCTGATTACAATTAAAGAATAGTCAACTAGTTGTATCTCTTTAAAACAGATAAGTAAGATAGAATAAATAATAATATATGTTAAACAATATTATTTTCCCTCTGTACTCTTCAGTAACCATTGCCCTTTGCAGTATATTTAAAGTGAACGAATTTGCCAAAATGACATACCCATCCTACTTTTCCATCACTGTTTTACCATTATTCATATATGTTTCTTTACTTCGGTATTGCTTGGAACCACAAACATACTTTGCCTTTTAAGTCAATAAGAATGCAGTCTTGTTACAATACAGAAAGTATAAAAACATTTTTAAGTGGTGGTAAAATTTGGTGTTTCCAGTGCTTAAACATAAACTACTGGAAATCTGTCAAATCAATGACATCTGGTTTTCTGCTATTATCCTAAATCATGCGAAGAGTCTACAGGGAGTCGCCCATGCTGTCACATCTCTGCCCCCCGCCCCTAATATACCCTTGAAGCAGACATAGTGTTGTCTGTATTTGTGTGCTTACCCTGCCTGGCTGTGTACTCATTGTCCTCTATCAACCTGGCCAGACCAAAGTCGGCGATCTTGCACACCAGATTTTCACCCACGAGAATGTTGGCAGCTCGTAGGTCCCTGTGAATGTAGTTCATCCTCTCAATAAAAGCCATGCCATCTGCAATCTAAACACAAATGACAATGCATTTTAGGATCAAAATATGAAAAAACGCTTATCTACATTTACAATAGACGCTTACCTGTGCAGCCATATCTACCAGCAATGGAAGTTTTAGGAATTTTCCATCACCCTCTTTCAGAAAGTCCAACAAGCTTCCTATAAAAGTAATGATAGTGTAAATGCCACACTTATATAAAACAAGCTGCAAAGTTAATAACTGTACATTTTAACACCACTTTTTGTTATTGGCTTGGAAAAGAAGATGAAAGATACAAGCCACATTTTATTAAAATATAGCTACTTCACAATATTTACAATTGCTTAGAAATCATTTACTGAAATCAAACTATGACAACTTTCTACAAACTACTGCAGTTTTCAATTAACCATTCTAACATTCAAGCCTGGAGGACGTGCTTTTCAAGGACTCTGCACTCAATACTAATTAAAACGGACACAAAGTGAAGTGATTTTCACCAGGAAAATCCCCACATGTATGTCAGACATCCCTAAAAGCCAAGGCTATTTGTAGTCAATTTTACCCAACCACAAGTCTTCTGTCTAACGCTCTCTGTTTTCCTAAAAAAATAAACCACTTCTGTTTAAACAAGTTCCATCTGATTCTCATTAGCTTATTTTAAGAATTAGTATATGGCTCATCAAATAAACTTATAGAATGTGGTTTGTTGTACCTTTGGCCATGTACTCTGTGACTATGTAAATGGGTTCCTCGGACACCACTGCATAAAGAGGGACCAGTTTGTCGTGCCGTAGTTTTTTCATGATCTGAGCTTCTTGGAGGAAGGCTTCTGGGGACATAGTTCCTGGTTTGAGCGTCTTTATGGCTACTTTTGTTGTACCATTCCATGTTCCTGTTAAGAAGACAAGATGGAGAGTGACTAGCTCCACAGGCCGCAGGGGTAATCAGGTAGTGTTAATGACTTGAGAGATAGAACAATATAATTAATTAGGTCTTGTAATTGAAGGCAAGTTCTGTCATGCGTGTAGCAAAATATGTCTTACTAAGAATGGGGCTGGGGTGATGAGGAGCGGAGAGGATTTTGGAGTTCAATTATTTTTGGAAAGTTGTTTGGCAAGAGATGAGTACTGAGTGATATGATCTGATAAACAGAATACAACAAGGAGAGGAAGCAGAGGAAGCAGGAAGCGGATAATTCCCAAATAGGACCAAAATAGATTAAATAAATATAGACGTTTTCACAGACATTAAGTTCATGCGTGTGTTGTCCCATATAAAGTCAACTTTCCGTCAGCGTAATGACATTTGAACAATAAACAAACTTGTTCCTTACCCATCCAGACCTCTCCAAAGCAGCCTTGTCCCAATTTGAGCTCCAAGCGTAAGGACTCCCGGGGAATCTCCCACGCGTCCTTGGCCAGTCCCTGTGTTTGAGGCTTAACCGTGGGGCAAACTGTGGTCAGCTTGTGGCACAGGCCGTCTGCATGCTCTGTAAAGCACCGAGATGAAAAGGTTACACACTACAACCCACCAGCGGAAGAACAGTCTCTCAAGCAGATGCTCTTTTAAGTCTTATTTCATGCATCGATTCATCCCATTTGATACTGTTGGATTTAGATACTCCTATGCTAACTGATGAAAAATATATGAGTTGAAGTAGTATCAAAGGCCTCTCTAGAGTCAGAGTGTAGGGATCACACAGATATAACCTCCTTCTGGTCAAAACATGATGGGAGGCTAAATATTGTAGCAGTAGGCTCTGTTTATTACAACATTCAAAAGAAAGTTTTAAATTGACCTGAAGGCAGGCTGAAAACATATGGTAGAATTAAATTAACCTTGTTTATGGTTCATATCTCTGTAATTACTGGGCCAATCCAATTTTAACTGTGGTTTGAAGAGGGCCTCATAATGATAATAATAATGCATTTTTTTTTATTAATATAGTGCTCTTTTAAACACTGAAAGACACTGTACAAAGAATACAGTTAAATAAAATGGTTGATCATATGGGCATACATTTATTACAGTCCTATTACATTTAACATATGAGAAATTTATGTTGGGATATTTACTTTAAATTGTATCTATCCCATAAAGTTATACAGGCCAAAGACCTGTATCTGTGATAATAATATAATCAAATTCTAAAACATGAACAACTATTGTTAAAATTAACAAAGACTATTCATCTCCCTTGATAACAGTCTGGTCTGGTCTGAAGGCGCAACAGCAGCTGTAGAAAGTTACATGGATAACAAAAAGGTTCAGTGTAGATTTTGTAAATGTCGGATTGAAAATTGCTCTGAGTAATGAATAACAGGAGATGGAGAGAGGATGGGAGCACTGAGTAGTTCTTGCACAGACCTGTGTAGTGTTTGACGAGTTTCTGTAACGTGTCAAACTGCGCCCGCGTCGTGATGTAGTACCCCCCACTGTCCAGCTTACGTATCTTGTAGTGCTTCACGTTGTCTCCTTTAGCCTCATCCCAGTCTCGAATAGAGAGAGAGAACGCACCTGAATAGAAGCAAAAACTTCAGTAATTAGATTTTAACTCAGTATTTGGGGAAATTACAGAAGTAACACTTCACACAATAACTAACATATACAGTGTATTAAATAAGATAAATATCTATACCAGTGGTTTCAAACAGTCAGTGCATGTTCCTGACCTGCTTCAGGTTTATTCATCATTTAGAACCACATTATCCATGACATTTACACCTGATAAAGTCTGAGTTTAGCTCCTGAAACCAAGTATTATCTTCAGTTTTAGTTTGTGTGTAAAGTTACAAAGTGAATGCTATTTGTCAACATACATTACATCCAGGCAAATAAAAAAATTTTTTCCCCTATACAACACTTTATTTTTATTTTTTTTACTATTGATGTTGTGTATTATTTTTCTTGTCATGTAGAGAAATATTTTAGGATTCACCTTTAGTGGTTTCACTTTCCCGTACCAAAAATGTTCCTCTGTGATTCCCTGGAACCAGCAACAACCTCTCAGCGTCTTTCCTCCCCATTTTCCCGAAGTACCACCTGCGTACAGACAGATTCCATTTAAAACACATGTCACAAGTCCATTTAAAATCCAACCCCAATGATATAAAGCTATGTATCACTGTAAAGCAATACTAAAGCTGGCTGTCTTTATACAATAAGAGGTGAACTCATACTAGTGTCATTATTTTTGCTTGTGCGGTGGCTGTCGATGAAATAATAGCGTTATGAAAGGCAGTGACAAAGGCTTACTCTTCAGCCTGGATGGAGTCAGCGGGGGCCACATAATTGCTGGGGATGTAGCCTTTCTTCCCAGAGTTGATGGAGCGCGCCTCCCACCAGTCTCCTTCTCTGTGGGGGGAGTACGCACAGGACAGAGAACTTGAGCATTTAACAGTCACCTTGGGGAAGACTGATCAAGTGAGAGGAGTCCACAGAACAAGATTTTGTTTTCAAGTTTACACATCAAGAGAAAACAATATAGTATTCATAAGATTTTACATTCAAGTAATGCTGTACTTAGTGAAAATCAATGATAAAACCCCTATCTGAACTGGGCAAATTCCAAAGTAAATATTGTAGAGATAGATATGTATATATACAGAAGACAGACCTCGACTAAGGTGTTCCAAATTCGCAAAACCCTTACCTACCTTTTCTATGAACTGTTTTATTGAAAATCTTTGTAAAATGTCTGACTATGATAAATTTCTGCCTTATTAGTTAGCATGAACCAGAACCAGTTCCTAATAGTACTTACGTATTGTTGATGATCTGAAATCTGTCTCCCTTTTTGAAGGACAGATCATCGGAAGTTCTGGCTTCATAGTCGTACAAGGCCACAAAAAACGTAACACCACCTTAAAAACACATAAAGATTCATTCACTATTTACAATAATGTAGCCATGACAACAGAAATGAGCCGGAGAAGCTAACAGTCAATATGTTAATATATTAGCTGGCAGTCTGGAAGCACACACTATTGATTTGCCCTGCTTGTGGGTGCATAAAATATGACTGTAATTATTCTATACAGGAGACAAGCAGACACAACACAGCTGAAAGTCAATAAATCAGACTGATAAAAGCCATAATGGAAATCCCATCAGGGCAATTTAATTACACAATCACAAATTAAATATTCGTCAGATCCTGTGTTGGGAAAGTCAACAGGGCAGCCTTGCTCGTAAACAGATGACATTCATATACCCGCTGTCAACAGTCTTTGTGTCTACACTAATCCCATTATCTCCTACATAAAGCAAATATGCCATGGAGTTCACCCCTTTAGAGGCAGCTAATCCGACACACTGTGGATTACAACCTAAATCCCACCTAAACGGCAGACTTGTACCTTATCTCTGGGATCACCACTCTAATCCTATCAAATATTTCATGATTAGGATAGATCGCACCTGACTTGACATCAAAGATATGAAGTGAGACATTATAGACTTGTAGTTTATTAGAAATGATTCAGGCTTAGTAACCGCTTAATTAATACCTTAACCCTAAATCTTAAACCTAACTCCTTAAATAAGTAGTTCTTAAGGCAGAACCATTCTTAATAAACTATTGATTATGCTTCGTTTATGCATTATTAAGGCTTTTTAAGGTATAGTTATTATAAAGTGGTACCGATTATTGGCTGAATTTAGCTCTCTGGGCTATAAGAGTCCATTATCGACATGGTGTCCTGCCATCCTCTGTCCCCACACCACCATAAACAGTAATAACTCTTTTACTGCTGCCAGGAAGGGCACTTCTTCTCTCATAGACATTTACTGTACCTCGGCTGATGCAGGAACAGAGCCATTTCCATCATGGTGGATCAATCTTACAGAGTAGAGTTAAGGAAGCAACAAGAAAATGCAACTTCTATGGATCAAAATAAACAGACTAATCCTGACGTGACCTCTGTATTTATCTGTACTTGCCACCTACTTTTCTCTATGTTATTTCTTACTTTGTCAGTAATGTCCCACAGTATGGCATTGAACCTCTAGAATGTATTTAATTGTGGATGTTTTTATTGCTAAAAATCTCCAAGGAGATATGAAAATAATGCTCATTTAAGTAATTCATAATTAGAGATATTACTACCAATGTCACATTAACAATATTTCTTATTTTCAACTAGGATTTGTGTGCAACCCAAACAGCTTTTATGCTTTATTTGTAGTGTTATATTGCATTCATATTGTGCTATAAGACATGTGAAACTACTTACCACAACAAAAAACACATGAATAAAAACAACCGAGTTCAGGAATGTAAAATGAATGTGAATCATTCGGTTAGAGTAGCGGTCTTACCAGATACAGCTCCTGAGAACGAGTTGGACACCGGCCCAGAGAAAGACGCTCCGCCGAAGGGAGTGATGGTTGATGAGGAGCCCCCAAAAGGAGTGATGTGGTTGAAGTTCCCAGGCGTGGTGCTGGAGGAGGGGGGCTGGCTCTGCTGCTGCTGGGTGGGGTCTGGTCCATAGTGACCCGTATGAGGTGTGGTGGTCGTGGTTGGGTCAGAACCACTGGAGTTCTCTGGACGGTACTTGACTGGGCCTTTGTTCTCTTTGCTCTTTACACAGCCCATAGTCCAGACCTGTGTAGTAAAGAAAGGGTTAGAGAACAGTTAGATTTATAATAAATAAAATATACAGCATGATTAATGAAAAAGAAATTGTGAATTGTTTCCCAGTGGAGTTTCGGATACAGATTGCAACATATGGTCAGGAATGCTTGCTGTGAAATGAAAAATGTTGCACACATGCTAAGACCATAAGCCTTGTAATAACTAGGACATATGGGAAAAATCCAAATCTGTTTTGAATTATGGCTGCACAAAATTAGGAAAGCATGAAATCAGAATGTTCATTTACATGTGAAGCAATTCAAGGAACTAAACACTAGATTGCGCAATTATTTTCAAGTTACTTTAAAAAGCAAAGTTACAAAATACAAATTCTGAATTATGAATATATTCCTAATAACAAAATATATTTTCAAGGTTCCCTAGATTAGTTTATTAGAATAACAACTAACAGTTATTTTAGGAATACATTTTCAGTACGTAATACATTTTTTATATGATTTTGTTCTTAGAGATTCAATTTAGATAAAATTCAGCCAATTGCAAAATATGTCAATTGGGGTCTTCTTGACAAAGTATTTACAAATTAATATATATTTTTTAATTAAATATCTCAATATATATTTTTCTGATTTCATTTTGATTCAGTAACACTGTATGGGTGTAATACTGCTGTATTTGCAATAAAAAGTCGTGATTTTTCTGATTAAACATTGAACCCTCATAATTTACCTACATATAAAAATAAACTGCCCCCTGCTGTCTAATTGATTCCATTCATTTTTGATTCCACTGTTTTGTTTTATTTCTGACATTCTGGGCCCTGCCTCCACCAATTCCCTCTCCACTGGCGTGGCTGTCATTCCTCCTACTTGCATCATTTGGATTTGGCTCCAGTCATGGTGAGGGACTTAGTCAAGGGAAGGACCGGAAAATATGGACACAATCAGATATGCTCGTAAAGACTTCAGAGCTCTGGCCAGTCCGATGTGTTTCATTTGGCAAAATGTCTGGGATAATGGCTGAAGATAGACCACATCATACGTATTATAGAAATGAATTGCAGTTCAGAAGCTTAGGGGGGGAATAGGACCACTTGTATTGCAGCTATGATGGTGATGGCGGTATAAAGAGCTTGACTTGACTAGATTACAGGGTTCCAGTCACAAAGGGCTATATAAAAGTGTTTAGAAATGTTGCACTGATTGTGGAGGAGTGTGATATGGAGAGGTGGAGGAGGAGTGGTAATGCACAGGTCATTGGGTTTTCCACAGGAACTGCCAAAGAAATCAGCTAAACAGGAACCACAGAAACCAGCCAAAGATTCTGACGTCTCCAATAAAACAGTTCAATTACAGGTTATAAATTTAACTGAAGGATGTAAAGAGTGGTCAGCAGCTGGCTATAAATCAAAGAGATTCTCAAAGAAATCTGTTTCCACCAGACAGGAGGTCTAGGTTTATAAAGCTTTGACTTTTTAACCAACCAGTTATATATAGAGATAGTGCATTGCAGTGATACTGTCTGTAATATCTGTAAAATGACAAGCTATAATACTCAATAAATTGCTGACCTTAGCTTTTGCACTGTTGTTCAGCCCAAACTATATATATATATATATATATATATATATATATATATATATATATATATGTGTGTGTGTGTGTGTATATAAAAATGCATGCCCGTATTTTTATTTTATCACAGTTTATATTATAATGTTTGTTTCATGTTGTTATTTTTTTTTCATTGACAATAAAATGTATTCTCATTCTAAAATAATATACTTTGTCATCTTTTTGTTCAGCAAGTCATTTTTACCACGTATTTAAAATGATAAATGGCCAAGGTCTTGATGGTCAACTATGGTGGTCTTGTGTTATGTCATCAGTATTTCCACACAGTAAAACATTGACCACTGTCCACGGGATATAAGCATCTGCAGTCGGAAAAAGTCAGGCCTTGGACAATTTTCATACATATGACCATAAAGAAGTTCTTAATTGTTGAACAAAATGTTCTTTATAATATTTTCTTATTCTCTGTCAATATTAAGCTTCCTCTGAGTCAGCCTTCCTAAGACTGGTTTAGATCAGTGATTGAACGTGGGTAGAGGGGCAGGTGGAGCTGTGTGATGGGGTAAAACATGCAGAGATGCCAGCCCCAGTTAGAACCACTAGGAGGATTATTATGAGCACAGGATTTGACCTAAGAGGATGATCATAACACTACAGTAATAATGGTGGCAGTATGTGTGATTTTGAAAGACCTTAAAAGACATTTGTTGTGTGAGAAAATGTATACTGCTCAAAATTCAATTCAAGTTAAAATGAACAATTATCAGTCTGATATGACTTTTGCAATATGTAACCTGTGTGCAGTTATTATAGCATTTCCACCAGCCTCAGTGTGTATGCCACAATTTCAAAAGGTCATGGTTCATTTATCTCAAACCGCTAAGTCTTGGTCTGCCTGTTGTACAGAAACATTTAGGTCAGTTTGAACACAGGACAATTCCTGAAGAGCAGAGCCATTGAAGCCACACAGGAAAATCTGCCTTGATGCTAATTATAGCAAGTAACTGCTGACAACATCCACTGCCTCTGGGAACATACCATGACCTACAACTTCCCATGCAAATATAAGAGCACTCCTGGTGAATGGGTGCACTAGATATGAGACACAAGGGGAGGAGAGCTGAGGTTTAGATGCAATAACAATTATCACTAAACTCCAAACATTTGATTTTCATAGTACCTTTGAAAGAACATAGTTACAACCCAGTTTAAACTCTGGTATATGACAAAGATTAACCACTGCTGTTGTGAGGCTGTGTGTGCAGTGTGCGTGGGCTAAGTGAGTTACACAAGGTCTCTGATGAGGGCAGGTACTTGCCGGCACCTGCCTGGAACCTGATCACTGAGTACCTGGAGCTCAGGGGTAAACACTGTAATATATATATATATATATATATATATATATATATATATATATATATATATATATATATATATATATATATATATATATATATATATATATATATATATATATATATATATAATAATTTCAATGCAATAAATGCATACTAATAACAAAGGTTAGTGTTATATGTAACTATTACAGTTTTGTTTTTCATCAAACTACACCACAGCAAGGTACATATTTTTTTTAAATAAATGTAACACTCTGCATCGTCACCTACACTTCACACACAGGGGGAATATTCTTTTATGAAGTACTGACTTTGAGGAATCTATGAGTCATTTTCTTGAATCATTTTCTTGGGAGACAACATTCTCCTGGACATCTGCTGACCTCTTGTTCTTGTTCAAGTGAGTTTATACTTATCTTAATAGCTGAACATGTCTGAGATGACGGTTTGTCAAACTTTAGATTCACCTTTCATAAAGTGATTAAAGTGTTTCCTTGTTGTCATGCAGCCCACACTTCCTGTCCCTCAAAGGTGGAGCGAGAATTCTCCACAGGCTTCACGAAACTGCTGATAAGACAGACTCTGTTTCCCGTTGATCATAAGTGCCATAACTCTGCATCAAGGTACTGGGCACTGGCTAAAGGGCAGAATACTAAAGACTTCTGCAGAGACTAAAGACATAAATTTGAACTTAACCTCTAGATTGCCTGGCATGTGTGTATTCCTGGGTCAGGGTGGGGTACTTCTGCATGCTCCTGTTCTCCCCATCAAACCAAAACATGCAGTATAGGCTACTCCTCCAACAAGGTCCCTTGGTGCTGCAATGCGGTCATCTATGACTCAGGTCAGGTTGCGAAGAATGTGTTAATGTCTAATATTTTAATGTTAGGGACAGTAGTATAGGTCTGAGCTTTTTTTTTTTTTAGAAAGAATATCTATTTTGTAAATATTTTTTGTATTATGGCTACATTTATGTTGTAAAATTCAGATTCAGTTCATAGAGCCCAATTTAAACTTTTGAGGTTCACACACGAACCTGCATTTTATAACATTTAGGGGTCTAAGTGTCAGTGTCTTTCAGTGATTTATATATATATTACTAAGGCAGAATATTTTGTTGTTTGCAGGGGACAATATGTTTCTCACATAAGAGCAGCCTCTGTGACATGATAATTGTTATCGTTGCAAATTTGATTGAGATTATTTTTTCAGCCCATCAAACAGATAGTAAACTTTGCATTAGCCTTCAGCATGTCTCCTTAGCCGCTCTGATACACTCCCCTCTTGGCATAGAGCGGTTGTGCTGTTGTGCTGGTGGACTGCTCCATCCATCAGAACACAGTGGGACCCTGCCTGTCAGCTGCCCCTCGATGAGAGCAGTCCTGGGGCTTTGGCTGGCCTCAGATCAGCCACAGATGCTGCACATTCCTCCCATGCCAAAGGGTTAAAACTGGGTCTGGAGAAATGTCACAAGATTGCATTGATGTGAAGTCAGACACAAACATCTATAATACGTGATACTACATGATGAGACTGATTCCATTCCGACTGTAAAATGATGAGGGGAAAACTTAGAGTTGATTTATGACAGTTGTGACACTGGTCCCCCTTACACCATTGACTGCTGTACTTTTGAACTTGCAAATATCACTACATATAAAGATTTAGCTGGAGGCAGTTCTGTGCTGTCAAAGAAAAGATGTAATTTTGGGAAGAGAGCGGTCTCCTGGGAACACCTGAAAGCTGCATGGTGGTGAATGGTGCCAAGCTATTTTGGGAACTGTTACGAGAATGAACTGTCTGACAGAAATAAACACTCAATTTTGAAGAGATTGCAAAAAATCTTATAAATCACCACCATTATACAAGCAGATTTTAAAATAGTTAATAAAATACTTTCACTTCTAATAGTAAATAATAACAGCTTACAATAACATTATGACCTATGGGATGGTTTTCAACACTAAAGTGTGAAACTTTTGATACTAAAAGTCTTGATACTTGATATTTTGGTATCACATTAAAAAGAAAAACACTCATGTAATTTTCAACCGTTTTACCATGTAGTCTAAACATAAATCATGACCATTCTAAAACAATCCAGAAAGGTCAAATTTTTTTTGTTTATATAGGCAATTTTATTAATTTATTCAAAGGCATCACTTATTTTGAACTACTTAATACTCTCTCCTGTCCTTACAATAAATACAATTTTTGCAGTATACTTAGATGTAGGCCTGACAAATATAAGAATACCTATATGATAAATTATAAGAATAAATGGTAATTCTCAACTATCTAGTACTAACAGCCATTCAAATGTCCTATGCTGACTTATGTTTGCGATATAGTTACAGGTTTATCTGCCAAACCCCCTCTCTACACTCTATGGAGCTCTGGGCTGTCACAGCCTCCTTTATGTGTCACATTCACTGTCTGTGCCAGCAGCTAGCAGACTTCAAACAGGATCCACGTGTAGCTGCTATAACTCTACAGTCATTCACAAACCCAATCTGAAGTAAACCCAGTGGACCAGAGGAAAGCAACAGCGCCAAGGCAAAAAGTCTGACTCAGCGTTTGAATAGTAAGGGTTAGACTAGAAATATGACTGTACAGGGGGACTACACTTCCTGCTTAAGATCTATCACAGGGATCTGAATCAGCAGTGAGTCAAAGGAAGTTGGATGTTGAAATTGCATTTTAGTAAGCCACAATAAAATGGGAAAGTAAGCAGGGTCTAATAGTGTTGTTACAGATGGTACATTGCAATGGATCAACATAACAGTTAAATACATTTGTGTTGTTATTTTACCATTTCAAAGTTAAGAGGTATCATTCCAGCCACAATAAATGGTAGACTGGACAAGTTCTAATACATAATGTAAAAACATCTTTAAATATTTTTTGAGTTGTTACATTGCAATAAATGAAAACTTCAAATAATGGCTACTATTGCCCTTGCCCTAGTTTTGTTAGATCTGATTGCAGATAGGAGGGCTCTAATGCTCCTTTGGGGATTGCCACCAAATGCCTGTGTACTCACTCCCATATTAAGCATTTATGAGCTAGTACAGTGCTATTTCATGAAGAAAATTGTAGGCATATCAGTAGCCTGGGGTGGTATTCACGTGAATTTTAATCATTCCTTTGTTGCTGACAGGTCAGAGAGAGACATGCAGACGAGCAGCAGCGTGTCGGCCCATTATATCTGCTCCACATCCAGCTGCTTTACAAATGAATTCATTACTGTAATCTAAAAGCGTTTACCTGTATAATCCCGCGTCCCTTTTACGTGGTCTTTGTTTTTTCCAACGCAAAATCAGGCCCCAGAAGAAAAGAAATCACGAGTTATTCCAAGCGGGACCGATCCGCCTCCATCCCCGTCTGATCCATCCAGCAGCAGGGCAAGTGTGCCGAGATTTCAGCTCAAGTTCAGTCTGAGCCCCGTCTCGCAGTCCTAAGGGATGGAAAAGGCGACAAAGAAGGCAGACATTTTTGTTATTAAAAGACTAGAACAACCACCCAGGCGTGGCATGATAAGGATGGGTAGAGTGAGAGCTCAAAGTATCCCATGTCTTTGAAACCGCTACTTCCTACTACTACTACGAAACTTGCACCTACCCCCACACCGTCAACATGGCCGACCTGCCTGCGGGACTGTAGCACACAGCCAATGCACACAGCTGGAGAGAGACACGGAGCCGACCGGTCCAATATGACCCTCTCTGGGGCACCGGGGGAACGGGGTGGAAGAGGCAGATATGTGGAGAATATAGAAAATGAGCGTAGTATCGCGCCAGACATCACCAGACCAAAATATACAGACCAGGGGCAGCTGCTTTCAAGGAAAGAATAAAAGCCTTCTCAATTTCCAATGTGCTGTGGTCCGACGCAGACATCTACCTCCATCTAGTGGACATATCGTGTTACTGCACAACAGGTTATGCCTTTTGCTCCTTTTTTTACGTCCCCAAAATAAATGAATGTTAAGATAAAAAGAGAGAAGAATAACATTTACATGCAGGCCAGTAACAGTTTATTTAATTCAGAGTCACATGTCATATGCCTTTTCATGAAGGTTTAAACTGGGATTTAATTATATTTACTCTGAAGACTCTTCCTATCACAACCAATGACATGCACTTCATAGATGGGGCATAACCTCAACAAATTTACTGCAAACACATCTACAACATGTCCACAACTGTTATGTCTAGGCACATCACTTTTAGCAAATGAAGTAATTAAAATGTGAAAAATGATCCTAATGCTATAACTGTATAATTGTTTATTGTAATATAATTGTGTACACAGGCTTAGATATTAGAGTCCACCAACCCAAAGGTCGGGTTTGAATTCTGCACCAACCAGTGCATACTGTTGTTGTGTCCCTAGGCAAGACACTTAACTCACCATCAATGAGTCATTTGATGGTGATAGTCAGAGAGGCCAATGGTACAGATTGACAGCCTTGCTTCAGTCAGTAAAACCCATGTCAGCCGTGGCTATAGAGGTAACCATCACCCACTTTTAGAATCTTTGTAAGACTTGTAAAGTGCAATACAGTAAGGCACTATTGTTAAAGTTATAACAAAAATTTACATCCCTTAACCAGTAGCATACTGTGTTAAAAATTAACAGAGATAAACCATACCCTGCAACTAAGCCACTCTCAATTGAAAAAGGAAGTCATAATGTCACAATTCTCCAGTAATAACTATTGAACGGAATCTTCAATAAACCCCTTTGATGGAGAGCTATAAAAAAGATAAAAGTGCTAAAATTAGCTTCAGTCGTGAGTCAATATTAGTTTGTGGTTGGTTGCATACACAGGTATAAGGCAATACAAACAGAGCAGAGCCATGTGTCCAGATAAGCTTGGTCTACTTATTCTTCAGTGTATTGTGCCAGTTCTGATGACTTACTGTAAGGAGCGTCCAAAAACACCATCTGTCTGCCCTCATAGTTATTTCTGTCTCAAATATTGAACATCACAAATCATAAACTCATACATGGACAAACCACTTCCAGGAGCTAATGATTCATATTATTAGTTTGACGAATATTCCCCTATGACTGTGACAGGAAGGGAAAAATGTGGCAGGGCATCAGGTGCTTTTAGACCGCTAATTTCATCTATTTTATGTCCTAGGCAAGAACATGCATTACCTCGACACAGCTGTGTTTGACATATGATCAAATCTGTGTCAGCATAGATTTATTGTTAATATGATAGTCACAAAATTAGACCATGACGCAGAATTTTATTTGAAACAGTTCCCTTTCACATTTTTCATACATGCCATGTAGTTTCAATATGCTCTGTTGCAACATGCTGGGTTTAAGATGACATCATGACATATATAGTACAGTAATATTTAATACAGACGTGGGGAGGCTAAAATGAATATGGTCGGAATGCAGTGAGTTCTAGTGTCCAGTCACAAATTGGTTGTTCATTTATGTTTTTTATATTTCATGACAAAATACAATGTTATCAGTAGGGAAAATGGCTCCAATCTGAGAGTACGACATCGTCATTATAGAATCTGAAAAACACAGATTTCAAAGCATTCAGGCAGACCTATATGTTTTTATTTATGTATTTGCTAGTCTTTGCATCTGTATATTTCTCCATTTGATTATATGGCTCCCAATAGTAAATTCTGAATGATCTTTTTGGCCCATCACACAGGCCTAATCGTTGCATTCCTTCTTGTGACCTCTAGGGCGCAGTGTTTTATCAGATCAAGAACAGAACGAAACTTTCCAATCTGTATGAACATCTATAAAGTAAAGTCATCTTTGAGTTTTTTTTTTTTTTTTTCTTTACGTAAAGTAAGTGACGTCATGCAGAGGATCGTCCGACGTGATTCATTCAGCTCATCGTGGCTTTCACCTGCGCAGCGCGACGTGTTGATAACAAGTGAAGACTGTATAGGTCTATAGACCTATACATCGTACACGTAGATGAGGCTTCGCATGAAATGAGCTATATTGTGTAAAAAGAAAAGGAAAAGAAAGAAAGACATTTTGAATAGGGGCAGATATAATGGCTCAAATTCATTCAATGAATCCAATCAATTAGCAACTCAAGAAAAAGGAACCCCATATATCGTTCGTCCTATCTCTTTTTACATTATATACTAGAATTAGTAGTGGTGGGAAATAAGTATACTTACTCTTCATAATGTAAACGGTCTGTGGGACAAAAATAATAAAATAATAAAAAAATAAAAATGTACGAAAAAGTCGAATGAATCTTGATAGCAAATAGTGCTGATTTTGGTTAACGGAAGAGTCGAATCGATTTCTTTTTTTTTCTTTCTTTTTGGTCAACAGCACAGTGAATCGCTTTTTATTTTTTAGTCAGGCTACCTATTTACAAATCGGCTATCTAGGCTAAACAGCTTTTTAGTTCTTTTCTAGTACTTTTTTGCTTCATTACTTTCCACTAACTGCTTATCAATGCTTGGTTCTTGGTTTGTCATATTTTAAACCTACACTTTATTTTAAAGTGTACGTGCCACATTTCAGCACTGGACAGCTCCTGCACTTCAGGACAGGACAGCTCCCTCAAGGTCCTTCGGGCTTTGCGTTATGACGTCAAATGTTGGCACCAATTCAGCCAGTGTTTAATTAATTGTACCTGACGCCTTTTCTTTCTTTCTTTTTCTTTTTCTTTTTCTTTTTTTTTTTATACATAACTTGGGTCCCTGGGTCTTTCATTGACGCGGGAGAGGGCTGTTCTGTAATGGGATACGGGATCAGGGTGGGGAGGATGACGCCAGCAGCACCCCTCACGCACACACCCTTATCCCTCCCCACCCTCCCCGACCACACCACATACGTGACAAGTGAATAAGGCACGGCTTTGGGGTTGGCCGATAAAAAAGCACATGTTTGGCGCTGTTCATTGGGTTTCATGACAGAGAAAGACGCGGAGAAGTCTCTTGGAGCAGAAGTGAGAAGTGAGCTGTGGGGCGCAAGAGGGGAGCACGCACTGATTATAAAGACTAACTCAGATTCAAGTAGGAAAGAGATCAGTAAAAGTACACCAGAGCCATTGGAACAGTGAGAGAGGGGCAGAGATAGACTTTCTATCTCACTCTCTTCAGGCTGCACTCCGGATCGCGGCAAGCGTCTGGCAACCGGTAAGAAAGCGCACAAGAAGAAGGGACACTTTTTGGATCAGTGCTTTTACAAGTAAAGTCAAAAGAGATAAATTTGCTTGTAAGATGAGTTTTTGGGTTTAGTTCAGGCACAAAAACAATTGAACAACCCATTTGCTAAAACAGTGTTTTCTTCTTTGCAGCAGGACAATGTCTAGTAAAGCGACTTTGGCTTTACTTATCTATGGAATCTTAATGCATTACAGCATTTACTGTTCACCTGTGGGGCTCAGCGTTCCCAGCTTTAGGTGAGTACCTCTCATGAAGAAACAAAGTGAGATAACAGATTATTGTGTGTGGCCCCCACTGTGGGCTGTTTAAGAGGCATTAGTTTACCGGATAACAATAAGTGACAGTGAATACTGTACTGGGATATGAATTATTTTGAGAAATATTAGAGAGCAAAACATTTAGACTGATTTGAGGTACTTTCCTAATCTACCAATTTTGGTCTATAAAAGGTATTTTTCAGGGAAAAAAAAACAAATAGTCAAATAGACCATAAACGAGGTGTGCTCTGAGTGTGTTTTTGTGTGCTCAGATTTGACAGTGAGCTTTACGATGAGGATGGGAACCCTTTGGCTCCGGTGGAGTTTGAGCGCGAGGATGTGGAGGTGAGGAGCGCTCCAGCAGACGACGTCTTCTCTCTGTTTTATCCAGCAGAGGAAAGGTGAGACTATCACTCCCTTTATTCAATGTACACGTCAGACATCTTCATTAGTATATTCTGTCCATGTACGCTCTATGTTTTATGTTAAATATGTATGTATTTAGTTATTCTCTTTGAAGAATATGTGATTTAATTTCTTATTTTAATTTGAGTCATGTCTTTAAGATAGTCCCTCTAGTGTTCTGTGACTGCTGTCCCAAAGGAGAGCTCAGTCAGTTTCCACTTAGGGAATTGGTCATTAAAAGGACAGTTTTTTTATGAGAATAATTTAAAGAAATCTGTATAATAAATTATAATCTAAAATTCCTATTTGTGACATAAAATCTGTCACAAGACAGAAAGAATAAACTCATAAAAAAGAAGTAAATGCCATATGCTTGGGTAGTTTTTCTTGCCTCTTGCGCTGGGTGTGCAGTACTGTGGTCTTACTGTGTGGCTGTCTGTCATGCAGAACGGAAAGGCATGCAGACGGCATGTTTAATAAAGCCTACAGGAAAGTGCTGGGGCAGTTATCAGCAAGGAAATATCTCCATTCTCTGGTGGCAAAACGTGTAGGGTAAGAGCTTCTCTAACTGCTCCTCCGTATCTGTCTCGTGTGACTCCTTATTTTGAAACTGTTCTTTTCAAAAACCTCCATGCTGTGTCCATGATGTTAAACTGTGCATGTCTGTGGTCCCATTATCACCCAGTATTGAGCCGTGCATTTAAGGCACATGGAAGAGTCAACTTGCATGCCCACAAATTCTATTGGGAAAGAACTAAAAAATTGAAGCTTTGGTGAGTGCATCTTGATGGCCCATTTTGACCTTGGAAAAGTTTTAACTACATGAACAAAATGAAAGATGGGTTTAGTATGCCAAATAGTTTATTTTTAGTCCTAGTAACATATGATAATGTGTAAAGTGTGCTGCAGCCTGCCCTCTATACCTCTCCCTCTCTCTCTCACAGCGGGGGTAAAACATTCGAAGACAGCACGGAGCCTCTGTCCAAGCGCCATTCAGACGGCATCTTCACAGACAGCTACAGCCGTTACCGAAAGCAAATGGCTGTCAAGAAATACCTGGCCGCTGTCCTCGGGAAAAGGTACAGACAGAGAATTAGGAACAAAGGACGCAGACTGGCTTATTTGTAGCACCCCCAAAAACGACAGTGTGTGCCACTCCACATCCAATCATTCTGAAACCAATCGCTGGATCGCTTTTGTGTTTTCCAATTCCAACTTGTATTTATGTATGAAGTAAGCCATTAAAAAGAATATTTTGATAATACTATGTTTTTTAGTTTTGTATGTAAGCACTTGAGGACGCACATATCTACTTTGTGGACCAGTTTTGTTTCACAATAGGCTTTATTTATGTATTCATCGAAATAGACGTGAGGGGGTACTATTGTTCACTTGTGCAGACTGCCCTGTCTTTTAAACATTTAGTCAATTTCATCAGCAAAATAAATAGTTTAAAAGACAATCAATGTTTTGAATGCTGCTTTCTGTAATGTGCCATTAAGCGTTTAGTTGTCTCTATTCACAACAGCCTTGAAGACATAGGTTTTCACCATATCCTACAAGACATAGACTTTGATGCCCTTCCGGACGGAGATGAGTTTGAGGCTATTTTGGGAGACTGGCTGAGACAGTTTTCTCCCATGTTCCTGGTGAGTCCCGTTGGGTGCCTCTCTCCTTCTCCTTACACCCTGCCAAAGGGAGGTCCGCTCCTCTCTTTCCCTCTTCGCCTTCAAGACTCCACCTCGTGATCTTCCTATAAACACCGCACCAGTCCTCTGCCACCTCAGACATGCTCTTGTCCCTCAGCTCTCACACTCTTGACCACACAGTGCACTGGCTCAGTGTGGTCAATAGGATTCCCATATCTATATTCTGTTCATGGATCAAACTTATGTAGGTTGAACAGCTAATCCTAATTTGGCCGTATTTGAGACAAGAGCACTTCTGAGAAGTTTCATAACTATTCTTCTGCACTTCTGACAGCTTTGAATCATGTAAAGTGCCAATCGTTGTAGTCCTGCTAATCGTGTCTGGGAAAGCTCCTCTTCTGAACATGTCCATATAATAAGTATCACACATTGAGCATATGAAACAGACTAATGTGATACGTATTACATGGTTACATTTCCATCTCCTGTTCCTTCTGAGACAGTACTTTGAACTTGTGTTTGAGCCTTCTGGGCCTATTGTGCTTCCTTTTCTGTCATGTGATCGAATGTAAATCATCAATAGACTGCATGATCCAAGTATTTGCACTAGTGTTTGCCACCGCACCATGTACAACAAGGTGAATCATGTCCTCCTTTGTTTTTTCATCTGTTACTTTGCCAAGATGGATGTGAGCTTTTGAAAAGTGAATGTACCTATCACGTCTGTATTTCATTATTTTGAGGAGAAATTTTGTCATTGGATAAAAGTAGTGGTTAGCTTTTTTATTTCACATGTGACCATACACTACATTCTACAATTCAGATGATGCAAGTAACAACAAATTAAAAACAAACACGCACAAATTTGGAAAGGCAAAAATTTACTCTTTCGCAACTATCACGTTGAACCTTTGCTTTATAAGTTATTCCTGTGTGAGCATTCTTCATGCCTCAGTTTTGCCACAGACCGACGCTGCATTTTGAGTTCTTGTGTTTGTATCAATCTTTGTTTTCGTTTTGCATTCTCCTCTAGGCCTTGTGACGCAGGAGCAGTTTGCGGCTGTGGTGCCTTGCATCGACTTAATGGCCTGAATCACAGACGGCTCTTTAGTGGCCCTACAATGCTGCACATCATCAGCTCACATTTCACTTTTTGGTTATTGTTATTATTGTTGTTTGCTTTTTGTGTCGCACAAATGTCTGGTAGAATCTCTAGTGCTACCAAGCGTCTGCACTTGCATGCTTTCATTTGCACCTTGCACCCTACATCTATGTGGACAAAACAGAGAAATCCGAGGGTCAGATCCCCAGAGAGACCTTCTCTGTATTAAAATGCCAATAGCCTTACAAATCTGACTTAATCTATATAGTATATATGCTTTCAGTGAGAATATTATATTGACACTAATTGCAATCTGTAAGGGTTCACTAAATAAATGTTTGAAAAAAGTGTTGTAAAAGATTTGTATGAATAAATTTTTGTAAACAACTCATAAAATGGTCTACTCATTGAAGTCAGTATGATTATGAGAGCTAAATGCATACATAATGTACAAATAAGACAAATTAATTTCTGATGGTGAACATGGGCCACACTCATCAACATTATTAGACTGTTACACAAGAATGAACATCAAATTTACAAGCGTTAGACAATCACCCAAAGGGTCAAATGCTTTGTAAGTGCTGAACCATTTCATAATGGTTGCAATGTGAATCATAAGAAACAAGTATAAAATCATTAGCCGATCAGACAAAGGAAGTCTAGTGTTTGTGAGTCAGTGCTTTGGCAGGGGTACAGGGACACCATTTGGCTTGGTGTCTACCTCCCCACGGGACAGCATGAGTACAGGGCCGTGGGAGGGAGCACCCATCTTTGCTGCACTTTACACCTCTCTGGGACTCAAGGCCTGAAGATGGGACGAACAGTTGGCCCCTCTCAACACTACAGTACTAGTATCCTGCCAAAGACAATGTGGCTGTTCCAATGGCAGGAGGTGGGCACTCTGAGCAGGACTAATATGTGTGTTTATATATAAAGCTAATTAAACTTAACTTAACTAAACTAAACACTTAACTCCCACATTTGGTTAACTAAGGGATAGCCACAAAAAATTTAATGGGCTAGGATAGTAGTAAGCAAGTGAAAATTAAGGTTGTAATATATAGAGAAATATATCTTCCCTTTACAGAAAACTAAATATTCTTCATTTTAATTTAGGTAGCCGGTAGTTTTTATTTGATAGAGTGGTGAGTTGTGTGAAATGGGGTGAAGAATGGGTTGACATATTCAGTAAAGGGCTGTGACAATTTGAATTGAAATTGTCATGTAGTATATAGTTTTTGGGTCTACAGTCAATCCTCTGACAGTAAAAGTGGTTAGGAGCGGAGATAATTTTGATAATTTCTATTTTGTATATTGAATATTAATGAACTTTTAAAGTGTAAATATGTAAAGATTACAGTCAGCATGTCTACTTTCTATCTTCAGTCCCTTGGCAAGTTGATGTGAAATCATCTACAGGACAGGGAAAAGTACAGCTACAATCACACAAAAGTACATAAAACCAGCACACTCACAATACATACAACACACTCAGTGTACACTCACTATACATTCATTTCAAACAGTTCATTTGAAGTTCAAAGTCAAAAGGTAAAGAGTTAAATCACCAACCCCCCAGTATAAAAAAAAATGTAATTTGGTTAACATGGTGACATATTTGGCCATTGAAGAACCACTGTTTTAAAGCTTTAGAAAATGCTGCCAGTGTTGAAAGTTCTCATATATGAGTAGGCACTGTATTCCATGTTTGACCTGCTCGATAAGCAAAAGAGAGCTGTCCAAAAGCACTTTTCCTAAACGACACAGAGCAGTCACCTCTAGAGCCTGCTTTTGTTGTGTGATTTGAATTTCTTTTCACAAACTCCTTTAGAGGAGGAGAAGCAAGATTATTAAAAACTGCATATTTGATATATTTAATATATTTAATTGTGTTGTCCCAAGTATTCTGCAATAGTGATACTTATGGGCTTTGGGCTTTTGTCTAATAGCTTAAGTGCTTTTTTACTTATTTTATTTTTGCTTATCAGAATGCAATAATTTAGGTGTGACAAAATCACTGAATTTAAATACATAATTGCCAAGTTTGTTCCAAGTGGGTCTGTATCCATGCCAGGTTTCTAATTCTGCTAATAAGACAAAATAAAAACAAAACCAACAGGCAGGATCAATCTGTAGGAAAAAACCCGACAAAACCTCCTTGCCACAGTGCAGGACAGTAAAAACAAAACTACCAACAAAAGTACCAATCCCACCTCTCTGTACGTCTCAGACAACAGTGGTGTGACTTACAGCTGTGAGAGTGGCGCACAAAGCTAGCGTTGTCATTCCCTGCCTCTGTGTGCGTAATGCCCCTCAGACAAGATGGCAGGGCTTTGATTTCGTGGTCGTGGCCTTAGCTCTTGGAGGAGCCACACAGAACATGATCAATGGGAGTGATCTGATTGCTCCAGCCCGTGCTGGACCCTTTCTTAACCCTGCTAACCCAATCAGCCACGGTTACCAGGCAACCGCGGATGTGTCACGAGTGGGTGGGGTGGCCGTGGTCTCGCAGGGCACCCACAGGATCACAAAGGATATATTTCACTCAGAGGGCTTTGGGCGTAGTTATTGTCCAGAGCAACAAGTGGGAAATTTGGTGGAAAAAACTAGTTTAAGTGCCAAGAAAAGTTAAAAATAGGCTAAATTTCAACATTACTTTTCAGCGATGTAACAAAATCCATCAAATATTCTCAGCTCCCAGTCTCTAATTTTAAATCCAGGACTGTAAAAATTTGTATTTAACCAACAGTAAATTGTTTCATGAGGAGCTAAAAATAAGACTACATTGGCTACACCTGATTAATAGGGAAATGACAGAACTGCTAGCACAGCAAGTAATTATATTTCTCTTAATTGTAATGATTGTATTTATACAACTTAGCCTTTTCTTAATATCTCAGTTTCTAGAAGGCCTTGTGTTAAAAGGTAGTACAGTTCCTCTACTCTACTGCTCTACTCAATGTACTAGAATCGATATACAAAATATCCTTGAGTATTTTACCATTTGTTTCCATGACACTTCCACATCCATAAACATAGTGAAAACAGAAGATAAAAGGTGATTTACATTTCCTGAACTCTACACTGCAGCTCCTCTGGGGTCCATGTGACTGGCAGCTTTCTGGAGGGGGAATCCACAGGAAGTCTTTTCATCACAGCGCCCCCTGGGTCCATTTTGACTCACTGCGACACAGAGCAAAAGTTCAGTCATTACCAAACATGAGGATGTATCCACCACACCATGCTTAATAATACCACAACTTTATCTTCATGGCTTTACAGAGGAGTTAGGAGAAGATGGCAGATATGAAGACAGAAGGTGTGCACAGCAGGAAGCCATTACTAATAATAGAGGCTTTTGTGAAGTTTTATTTTGACATCTCTTTTAAAACAAGCTGCAAAGGAGTGAGTTCATGCTGCAGATAACATAGCTCTTTCAAATCAGGTATTTAGTACTTGATTGTCAGACATAAAGTTTGGTAACAGAGAAAAATGTATATCTTGATATTTGGGATGTATGGCAATGAGAAACAGTAAATTTTTTGCAGTCCATCAGAAATGTGCTAAGTGTCTTTAGATGTCCTGTGTGAGATGTAAGTATTGTACAGTAAGTCATTCCCCACTAGGGGAAATAATTACTTTAAACTCCCAATTTTCAAACGTGATAAGAATGAGTACACATGTTTTAAATAGTTCAGTGGCATAAGTTTAACATTATCTTTTAAGCTGTTGTGGCTCATCATTCATATGACAACAATGAAATGGCAGTTATAAATCTGATCTAAGTCGTGATCAAAACAAAGCCAGACTTAATTTATCTCACTTTTGCTGATGTGGATACACCTGTCGGCTGTTGTTATGGCAGCCACACAGCTACCAGCACAAATAAATCATACAGTATGTTACAAGAATAGGCCATTCATTTATTAAGAGCACCAGCTATTACTCATCTGAGTCTGTCCTTTCTTTACAAGAGAATCCAAAGTTTTGGGCCCATGGAGCTTTTTCATAAACCTGCTACGATTTAGAGTCATTTTCACGCCGTGGGTCAGACAAAATGAGGCATTATTAGTGGACAGTTACCGCTCTCTGCTCGGGCTGGGAGAAAAGTGAGATTTTCTGCGCCTATTTTCCATTACAAATTGGCCTTATGCCACACTATGTTGTACCAGAGTCAGCGTTTGAAAGTTGTTTTAATGTAGGGGAAAATATTCTATTAAAACACATAAAAACTTTTATGTCATGGATCTGTTGGTCTAATTGCATTTAATAATGCATATGATTTGCATAACACCTTTGAAGATACCCAAAGCATTTTACCTTTTTCACTCCACACACAGTGCCGGAAAGCTGCCACAGCTGCCCTGGGGTGGACTGTCCATCTGTTCCATGAGCCCCTCTGACCATCATCAATGTCTCATGTCTTGTATAAGAGGAACCCAACAGTTGTTTGCTCTGAAGCCACTTCCAAATGGTAAAATTCTCCAGCTAAGGTGGTCCTGACTCCTGACCATGCCTCGTTTAAGATCAAGAGATGTGAATCTGGAGTTAAATCTTGTAAACATGTTAATATATTCCAAATTATAATGTTGTTTTATTCACTATAAAAAAACAACAACACCCATTTTAAACGTTAAAAGTAGTTTAAAGTTTAAAAGTTATGTTTTCTCAAGCAGATTACTCAATTCAGTTTTATGGCAGTATAGTTATGGTCCAGCTAGTATTACATTTTACTTAATAATTTATTTGTCTAACACATTTGCTGGTCGAAAACATGAATAAGACCAATAAGGCTCAAATTTCTTCTATAACTCATTGTGTGACTTTTTTGGACTTAGCTTGAAATGCTTCTTGAAAAAGCCTGAATCCATCTCTGTACCATTTGGCATTTGGGAAAAGGATGCCTGGATCGGTCTTAATCGCAGCACTCTCCCCCACCCATCGCTCAGCTTGCACAAGTGTCGGCCTAATAAGATCTCCGGGATTCTTGACCCTGTGTGAGTGTCCACCTCTGTAATGACACACAAATAAACAGGTGATGAATAAAGGCGCTAATGAGACAAGACTCAGGCTGGACATGGCAGCTGCATGACTACTACAGTCTGTGGTGTAAGAGACATTAATTTGCTGTCATGTGTGATCAGACAGCTTGTTCTGAGGATCATCCTGTTAGGCAAATGAAGCCCTCCAAGGGGCTTGATTCAAATCTACTGCCAGTGATTTTGTTGGATTTAAACAACCTATTACACAGTCCACAGGCAATGCAATGAAGATGTTGGTTTCAGTTATACAGATGGGAGATTGAGGATGAGGACATCACCTAATGCTAGGCTACTTTAGAAACAATTCAGCATGAAAGTAAAAACCAGCTAGGTTTTTTATTGCTCTATTCCGTTTGAGGTTTGCATGGAGAAGAATGTAGCTATGGTAGGTGTTTATGTTTATTTATTAAATATAGGACAGTGAACATTAATCAAGTGTGTTCATGTGTTAGTACAGCATGTAAATGTGCCAGAGTTAGCCATGCAGGATCATTTTCATTCGTAGTACCATTGGCAGGTTGCTGATAAGACAGAAAGGCACAAAACATTCAGTTCATATGATCAAGAAGCTCAGAGAGATCGGAGTGATATATCGGGCCAGTATTTGACTTTATAGTTTTGGCTATCTACCTAAATTAGTTTGGGCCAACCAGCTGCCTAAGGAATATGCACGAAGCAGCAGCGAGAAGAGGGCACTGCAAAGTGTGACTACACTTCTCTATTACACAGTTTGTAGTTAAACAGGGTTGTGGATGAGAAAAATAAAATAGGAAATTTAAAAAAAAGGAAAAGGATCCAGGAAAAATGTGTATGTGTAAAGCTGTTTCTTTTTTCTTTTTTTTTTTGTTTTTGTTGTTTTTTGTTTTTTTTAGCTTAATATCTAACCTAAAACAATCTTATTTGCATAATTCCTGTTGTCCATAGCAAATAAATATGTGTCATGATTATGTGTGTTAATAGATGAAAGTCACAGGTCTGTACTGGTTAGGCTCATTTGTCCATTAAAGAGGCTTAATCACAGCTGCTCTCTGGCTGCAGATAACCTTTGGAGGCTGTTCTCTCAATGAGTGCTTCCCATTCATCACTGACTTGTTCGTATGTTTCTTTAATATCCCCTGTGCCTAAAATAGAGTGTCTATCTTTAGCCGGTCACAGTTCATCTTCTCAGACACTGACTGCTCCTCAAATAAAAGTCCCTCCTGGTTCCTGCTGCTGCAAAGTGTTGATGAACTAAAAATCTTCAAAAGAGTGACATAATTTATTTCACTGTTTCACAAATGATGCTCAAAGAATGGATAAAAATAGACAACAATGAGCGTCTTTTCAAACCTCTCCTATAGTATCTAGTAATAAGGTTTATGTCAGCACTTTTGAGGTTGGTAGTTACACTCAGCTGACATTTTTTGTTTGACAGCACTGCACGGTTCCTCACAATTTATGTCCACACTAGATATGTGTTTCATTGAAGACTATTTTTATTCTTTTAATTATGTAAGCAGTGGTAGAAGGACTCAATTTTGTTACTTATGTAGAATGTGTCATTAAATATAATTATCTTGGAATAAGTAATTGAATAAATGCAAGACAGATACATTTATTCCCATACTGTTAATCATTCAATAGAAAATAATTACCTCATTATAGTCAAGCAGGTGATACAGTGCACTTTTAACATGATAGAATTCCAACAGAATCTGAATAATAGTTGGAAAATGTGAAGCGGGATATTGGAAAGTAAATATGTAAGATATACCATATATTTGTAAAGAAAAGTGGATGGAGAAAGTAATGCAAAGACAATAAGGAAGCACTGACATGAGATAAGTGTATCGGATTTTATTAAGCAATAAAAGACCTGATTTGTCTTGAAGATTTAACATAATAGCAAATTATAGCACCAGTTAAAATACTGAATACTATGTGTTGTTGAAATACAGTAACATGAAAGTTGTAAAAGAAGGGACTCGGGATGTAATGTTGGACAATTTTTACATCAATACATAACCCATAGGTGTGAACACACAACACAGACATTCAAGCCTACCTATGTGTCCACTGTAGGGAGTATTATAACCTCTGATTACATGACTAGCAGTGTCCTTGGTACATCACTATATAAGCCTTTTGTCTGGTTATATATCAGTCATATTGAAGGCAAGACACTGAGAAGTTAAGGTGGAATGTATCCTGAAAGCATCCCAGGCTCATTGTGCTCCTTTGGCACTGGAAACATGAAGAAAAATACATTTGGCCTTAATAAAAGATTTGCAAGAGGAGGTTAATCGACAGTGTCAATCCAATTAAACATTGACGTTGGCTCTGTTAAGTGAAGCTGAACTGTCATCTCTGCACTTTAACAAACAATTATCACATATAGATCCCTCTCTCGGATGGACGTGACCCACAGGTGAAGTCACATGATCAGAAGCCACATGTGATTTTAATAGCGTTAGTTTAGCAGCCCTCCTCTGACAGTGAATCCAGGAGAGTCCTGCTTCTCCCTGCGTCCCAGGGGTCTGGAGTCAAAATTATTATACCTGAGCAGAGCGAATGCATTTGCCACCAGCTCACACTTTGACCCCTGCTGTAACTGATGGCACATTGTAAAAAGTTGAGAAGGATTGCATTAAAAGCTTGTTACATGGCACTGTCTAGGAGCCCAGAACAGCCCTGTATTTGTGCTAATTCAGTGTCTGCGTGTCTCTCTTCTCAGCTCCACTCTCTCTACACAAGGACTTCCTCATTATTGGACCATTCAATGCATGGGTGTTATAGTGTCATATGAGATTTGTCTCACCATTACAACAAGTAATTGGTGGAAGCACTCTGGTAAATTACATGAGCTGAGGCTGCGTGGCTTTATGGGGAATAATTGCTGCTGTCTAGGTCTCTACTGTTAGCACCATGAGAGGCAGTCCCCTGCAGCTAGGGTTACAATAAAGCAGGGCCCTCATATGTTTGAACCAGCACTTGTCTTGTTATCCAAATGGGCAGTGTATTTGGATGTGTGAATATTTGATTAAGATTTGAATAATACATATTTGTGTATTTTACAAACTAGCTTTAAACTTTAAAGTTAACTTGTGGCAGTAAATGGAATAGTTAAAATAAATAATAGCTATTTAACTTAATTGTCTTGAGCTTGTGTGTGTTCATTTGACACATAAAAGTCTCAAAATGTACACCCCTGATCTTAACTCAATGATATTCAGTTAAGACTGATGTGTGTTGTCAGTTGCATAACTCACAATTTAAGGGATGACATTTTACTATAATTTTTATAAGTTCTCCAACATCCTTTAAATATATTTGTGTGTACAGGAGTCCAAAGAAAAAAAACGTATTTTAGACTTTTCTAAATAAATTGAGATATTTAAATGTTGCTGTTTTGAAGCAATGGAATTGAGTTTTGCCTTTTACAATCAATTGATTAATCCAAATAATAATCAATTATTAGCGTAATCATTAGTTACAGCCCTAGATCTGTGTCAAATATACTGTGACAGGACTGTGACATTTTATAGTGATTATGATATCTACTGTTACTGTGTATTGAGCTGTGACTCCAAGGGCAGTGCAGAGTGCTCAATCAGCTCCTATTATCTATTAGTGACCCTCACTCTCATCTGCCTCTACGGCCCATAAATTTAAGCTTTCACGCTGACTCCTAGCTGAAAACGTCCTCAATAAATGACTTTTGTTTTGCATTCTCTCACTTACAGACCTTGATGCAACATGCTACAACCAGTGTTACAGTTTTAAGATGAAAATATTTTCTAAAGGAAATAAAAATTAATTAAATAATATTGACAACACTAGCCTGTGCATCTTGGAAAGTGATTCACTGACAGATTCACTTATAATGTGCTAATGTGATGAGAAAACTATTTCTGGAACAGAAGTTGCACATCTGGGAGGTGACATTAAGACATACAGTACATTTTCTTTAGCTCATTAGCCTGTCTCATGTGATTATTATGTGGCCAAAAATATGTGTTTTGTTAACCCCAATAAACATGCTAGTTTAGATGAGAATCAAACAGCAGGCTGTTAACTCTATTATATTTACTTTAAACTAATTTAAGCTAGGCGTGATTCCCAGATGGAGTGAGGCCTTTTGATCTGTGATTAGTGTGCATATTCTCCCTGTGTCTATGTTCAAAAACTACAATCGCGAGCGGTTAATGAGGGAACAGATAAATAGTGTACTCCTTACACAAGTATGATTCCCTGGATTCCTCAGGCTAATGATAAGGAGCATTATCTCCAGGTGAGGACAGTACAGCTCTCCTTGCCATAGGGCCATTGCCAAAAGCGGCCTACAGGTAAAACCTCTACATAGATAAAAGCACACACGACATGCTAATACTATGGTAAATATGATAGGAGGCTCAGGTGTCCAGATTGTGGATGAGCCGATGAAAATTCCCTCTGCAGTGGAGCAGGAGGAGGAGCACTCTGGAGTGTGAAGGAGGCCATGACAGTGAGGGCTGCAGGGTAATTTGCTCATATCCATTCATAACCATCATTAAAGTTTAGAGAGCTGGTCCTCTGCTTTATGCTGTCAATCACGTCAATGATGTGGTCCAATCAGAGGCTATGGCTGCATTGCGTGAGGGCTGTATCAGTATGCAAAGAGGAAGCTCCATCAGAAACAGACTTCAAGCATATGACATATGAAGGCTCATCAGCACTAGTTTCTCCACTCAATCACATTTATTAATTACTGTCAATCTGAGAATACAGCTCAAGCAACATGATTACAAAGGGGAATGGATGTTATTCAGGTTTTATTCATCATTTTATCACATATTATTTTTCATACATAATTACGTTTTTTCTGTCCACGTTACATTTTTCTGGTTCACAAAATTTCATAAAAATCGATTTTGTATAATGTCCCCAAAGAGCAGGTGATTGTGCTGCTTTTATATATTTATTTTTTTCATTGATTATTTTATTGTTGCTAGATTGTCTATTAATTAATTTGGATCTAACACAAATGCAGTACACCAGAGAATAAACCACGTCCAACAGAAAGCAACACAGAGCGATGTGTTCAAGTGCAGTGTGGACATCACAGGAGATACACTTTACGACACTGTACCTTGAATCTCACTAACAGTTTCTATCGTGTAAATTTCTGACCTCCTACATCCATTCGGTGCATTGTGTAAGCCTTGTTTTGCTGTAGTCGTTGGACAGTGATGGGTATAGATAATGGTCAAATTGCATAACGCCGTGAGCTGTTGCATGGTCAGATCGATGGCCTGACTGAATGCTGTGTGTGGGTGAGCTGTTACATTAGTGAACACATCTTCATTGACACTGCCTTCTAATAGAATCATCGCTCTCGATTTCAGCTAATTGTTTTTCTATTTCTTTTTGTCTGACTAGGCTTATGAACTGTATATTCACAATACAGGTGTAAGCTAAAATCTGTTGGCCAGACTGTTTGGGTGCCTTGAATGGAGAGCATGTAGAGAGATGCTCATTTGTGTACACCCCTGAGATTCAGATGCAGAGCGGGGCTGCTCACCTAAACTCCCAGGAGGCCTTGGGGCGGCAAGATTATTCAGTGCTGTATTTAGGGAGCTGTTAATGAGGAGAAAATATGGCAGCTGTGTAAAACCTAATCAAACTAAATACTTCACCAGAGCCTTAATGATTACAGAGGTGCTAACGGGCCTGCCACATATTTATCTGTAGCCTTCAACTCTTTTTTAACCTTTTTTGGGGTGTGTTCCCTTTCTAGCAATTACATGATCATTTTCTTATCTGGAAGTGATTGTTATTCTTGACATGCTTCTTGGTTGGTATATTCTTTCTTAAAATATTGCCAAAGATTACAACAGTTTTATTGCTGTCTGACTCAAAATTATAATTTGTTCCTATATTATGCTTTAATATGCCTCAATATCCAAGAGTTAAACATTACTTAGCTCATAACATCTTTTTTGACACACACACATAAAATCTTCACCATGTGATTGTTTGGCTTGTAAAAATGTAGACGTCAATGTAGCAGTAATTGAAGGCTTGATGAAACTTCACATACATGATGCAATCTTTTCCAAAAAAAGTACTTTCCCAGATTTATTGGCGTATTCTGTGATGAAATCAGGCTGCATGAATGAAATGATAGGCAATGGGTGTCAAGGCTTATTATTTTGGTGTGGCAAAATGTTATGGCAACCAATATAGAGTACTCTTTTCTGCGTATGCCCCTATACTGTTACTGTATACGCTGTGTAGAGTATATGCTATGATGTGATAGAGAAAGACTCGAGTGGAGCTGGTGACACACAGGACTCAGAGAGAAGCTTGTAGCTCTGTGGGACACCCCCATCCACTGTGCCTCCATAAATGTCAGCAGGTCGACTATACACACAAAGCTTTCCTCATATAGCCATCCATGTGGCTTCAGTGTTGAGTTTTTGTGCATTTCATTTGAATAAAGAAAATGTTTGGGTGACTGGTTGTGTGGCTGACTTTTTTGATAACATTCTCTAAAATTGGTAAAGGATTTGCAAGAAGCTGAAATGTTTTTTATTTTTGTTCATGTAATGGTTGCAATGCCTATTGGTTACTAAACATTTCGATAAAGCCCTTCTGCGGATATGGTAAAAATATCTGAACCATTTGAATGGCCAGACTTAAGTTAAAACTTATGAACAATGGCTGATGTGGCCCATGATTTAACTTGTGCTTAACCAGGAAGTTAAAGTCAAAGCTAAGGGCTTAGTGTGTGAGGCCAGTTAAAGTGACAATATGCTAAATGCCACAGAGCAATTAGCCTCCTGCTGCAGTCCCCGCAGGATGTCCCACCAGCAGAGCCTTTATTCTAATCAAGCTCTGCTCCTCTGCCTGACATCCCAGAGGGGCAAGACTGACGCATCAAAATATTCAACACACACACACACACACACACACACACATATATATATATATATATATATATATATATATATATATATATATATATATATATATATATATATATATTATATTTTTTTTTTCTAATATTTAGTCACGTTCTCTTATAACCAAAGTCAGTCTATATGATTTTTTATACAAACCATAAATAATTAAAGCCTGTTTGAGTCATGATTAGTCAGATCTACATTTTGCTGAGAATAATTCAGTCTGATTGGGTCCCACCTCCAGCATTTGGGTGCTGGATCTCTGATTGATGGAAAAGCATAATTTATAAAATCTTAGAAGTGGAAATTAATAATTAGCATTAATAGATAATAGATAGATTTAAGGATTTATAGGCCTATATGTGTAGGTGCGTCTAAGTCAACCTGAAGGTACTATTTCTCCTATACTAAAAGTAAAAAATCTGAATTCCTTTTTCATATATTCTAGCACAGTCTGTTAATACAGTAGTGACTAACTGGATTAACAAGCTCCATGAGAACTTGTGTATAAACCTTCGTTAAATGTCCCCACAATGGCACTGACACACAAAGAGACAAAAACATATTTAAAGCCGTATCAAAGTGCTATAATTGGAGGAGGTGTTAATGAACAGCCTGCTTGTTAGTGCATGTCACAATGAACCCGAAACACCAAGGACAGTCTGAGAGGAACAGTCCCCACGCGTCATCTGCAACAAGTGTCGAGTTTCTATAGCAACTCCAGCCCGTGTGTGCACTTTACTATAAACAAATACCATTAATGAACATACACTTTCCTTCTGAATGAAGGACTCAGCTCACACCAATGGCAACAAAGCTACAATGGCGTCACCCCTTAAGATATCCTCACAAAGAAATGAACACACTGTATTGCACTACTAAACTAGACCTAAATTTGGACCTGAAGAGGATTTTGTTGATTTTTTTAATCAAAGAAGTGACAAGAGTGACAAAGTGCAGGTGACAAAGTGCAGTTCAAGATACCCAATGTGCTTCACATTCATTCATTCGTTCACCATACTTGGTGGTGGTGAGCTGCTCCTGTAGTCACAAGAGAAGACTGACCCCATTGCCCCTTCCAACCTCCACTATTTAAGTCATTCATAATCAAGCTCAAAGAAGTGTCTTGTTCAGTACTGTCTGGCCTATGATGTCAATATGCACTGCACTAGCTGTAGATCAAATCACTGCTCTCCAGCCTTTATCACTGAGACTTACTTTTAAGAAATAAACTTGGCTTGATCCAACTTGCTGTAGATGCGGTAGAATTCATAAAGGCTCAGGGAGCTGCTTGGAATGGGGTCAACCTACTTTACACAGATTGATGTGTCAGTGCTTTCATATGTTGAAATGACATAATTATGACATCAAAGAGGAGGTATTATATGAAGTGCTTGCTACCATGTTATAACATAGCTCCTTCATCAAAAACAAGCTTGAAGTGGATTTATATGTCTTACATGCAATCTCCTAAACCCACTATTCGAACCCTTCTATGGTTAGGAGTACAAGTCCATGCATCTTGTACAAGGCTCAGCCCAGAGGAAGCTCGCATTCCTGCACGCCTAAATTTCATAATACAAGAGAAGGATACAAAACAATACACTACAACTTCACAATCCCAAGCATGATGCAATGTACAGTAGTTTAATGTTAATTGTGTTGGGAGAAGTGAGCGAAAGTGAATTTCAATACATTGTTTTCATCGTGTATAGCATTCCCAAAACAATAAAAGTTAACATTGTCAACTAAATATGTTATGTGTTACCCTCCTACCTCAGCAAAGAGGATTTAACATGTAGAGAGACTAAATATATTAAACAATCGTTACTTGATAATCTGAAAATTATCAAGGGCAGGGAGCTGGGCAAAGAATAGGCAGCTGACCTCAGACTGAATGAGTGAAGCCTATTAGAACTTCCTTGTAGCGGCTTTGAAGCTCTGTAGTTGGAGTGGGTCCATATTACATAATTCATGAGAGGGGCTGACTATCGATCTGCCTGCTGTTTAATCTCAGTGGTCTACAGTCTTACTCCTGCGTCAAAGTTAGCGTCACTCCACCCTGAATTTTGACTGTCACACGTGGTTTCCCTCCTCCTGTTGTCATTATGAGCCTGATAAATACAATCCACAAATTGTTAATATTTTGTAAAGTTTAGCATGATTTATCTTCACTACTGTGGTATGTCGACAATAAACAACGTTGCTAATTCGTAGATTCATTTTGCTTCATTCAAAATTAATTGCAGCAGAGTGCGTGCCTAATCCAAGTGTTGAACAGCAATAGTTGCAAGAGTTGTTTTTAATATACATAATAGATATTGTTTAAATCCAACTAAACACATTAGCTCTTTTCTTTTTCTTTTTTTTTTTACTTGAAATAAGGCAGTATAATCACATACAATAGCATATAACATTGCCAAATATTAAAAAAGAGCCATGGTGTAAGAGATTTCTCTTTGAGTAAAGTCTGCCATTTTCTGCAAGGCTGGATTTCCACATAAAAACAGCAGAGAACGTATATTTATACATCACACTATTAAATGTCTGATTTAATACGGTCAAAATTTAACTTAGTTCTATTTTAACTCAGAATCTTATTTGATCATTGCTTTCCTCATTATTTCCTTTTGTATTTTGCTTCAGAAAATATATGTAGATGTCAGTGAAACTATTAGACTTAATTTGAGTTTACCATGATGTACACAAAGAAATAAATGGGCAACCATTCATTCTATTTTCTTTCTCTAACCCTATTCCACAAACCATGAGATGGGAAGATAAAGTGCAAATACCTCTGTCACATTTGAACCACTGGACTGGAACACAAGAAGGACTCCACTCACAGACAGTAGCCTTGTGGAAGAATTCTTCTTCACTCTGAAAACCATTATAACAATGGGCACCTGTGAGAACAAGATGTAATAGATTTAGAACATTCATTAGTTTCAGTTAAATTTTACTTTTGTTGTGTATTTTTAATAGGGGGACACAGAAAAACCATAGTCTACATATAAAATTCAGTGTCGTGAGTTTAGTGCTGAGGTACAAGAAATGGTTCTTGTACTACCGAATGACTCAGAACTTGCACCATCATCAATTATAACTCATAACTAGCTCACAACTAGCGCTGATCTTGAAAGTCTTGACTTTTATTTTGAACAAATTGAAACCCTATTGTTTTTGCCACCTGCACCAATCAGATCAGGCACGGTCAGAGCGGCATCATTGGTCGGCCGCCCACAGCTCGGCTAATTGGCAGAGGCCTTGAATATTTCATGTCAGACATTAGTTGAAGAAAGAAAGAAAAGTGTGTGACTATAACGGCCCCTGAAATGCATAGCTGTCTCTATGGGGCACTTTGTGGGGTTGGGAGCCGGTAATCACACGGCTAACGATATTGACCAGTCGATCAGAAGCTTGATGTAGTGGTCAGTGCCTAAGCGCTGCAGGAAGTACGTGATATTATTGATTGTTGTCAGACTACACCCAGGGAGGCCGAGCGGACTAACCACAGTCTTTATCTGTTCAGACAGTGGAAATCACTTAGTGAATATAAATTGTCAATGAACCACACTGACCTACAGTAATAAGCCAGGCAGTGTGAAGAAGTCTTGTTCAGCTGGTCCGTTTGCATCACTTTGAAGGATTTCTTTTATTTTGCTATATGATGTTCTAAGAGCATTCAAAATGACAGAAAATTTATTAAATTACCATTGTGTGAGTTTATGTTTAACTAATATGTTTGATGGTAGCTTGGACACAAGTCTTTTGTTGTGCACCCAGTTTCCTGTCTCTGCCCTCCACACCTCTTCCCAAGGACAATTAGTCACCCTATTTAAACCTCCCACAGCTCGCTACTTTCCAGCTTCTCCACCCACCAGTACATGTTTTAAATAGAGATAGAAAGGTTGGCCTATATGTCGGGCCAATATATATTTTATATTTTACCTTAAAAGTAATCTTGACAGATAACAAATCATTCAACATCTGTATGTAACAATTCGTTTTCACTTTATACAACCAGAGTACCAATCATTTATTTCTTTGAGTTCTTCTATTTAGGTAGACTTCACATAATGTATTTTGTTATCCAGGTCTATGGACTGGCTAACATATCTTTGTGAAAATAGTGCTGTGTTGAGGCTCTGTATTAGTGTCAATCAAACTCAGTTAAAAGTCGCTTCTCAGAAATCTGATGTCTATCTAAACCTGCAAAACAAAATGAGTCCAAATATAGTTCTGAACCAAAATAAAAATCTGAGGCTGTCCTGTCAGTTTTGCCTGTGGTATTTCAAACCGATGAAAGAGCTGTACGAGAGAAATGTCAATGTTTACTGAATATTTCATCTCTGTACGTGACCACCCAGTAGCCATGTAGAGGCTAACTTCTCACTGAGGTAAAACATACAAACAAATTAGCAAACTGATTTCCATTTCAAAAGCCATCATAGATTTGTGGGATCAAGACCTGCAGGATTTCAAATGATAATAGCAAAATGGCACACCCTTCAGGTGAATAAGAAGTAGACATGAACATTAATTCTTCAAAAAAGATGTCATAAATTGTACATGCTCAATTCTAGTTCTTTCATTTCTTCCCTTTTAAAAATATGTACTATATTCCAATGACGTCAAATACATGCTTTGATGGATAGTTCGACTACAGACTATTTTATATGAGGCACTATGGGCCAAGATGCATTAAAATGATCTTATTGACTTGTCTGGTCATTTAGGGTGAGTGATGCCTGGCTGCTGTCAGAATCTACTGCTTTTTTCCCCTACTCACTCAATGAACTAAGAATATCCAAGAGCAGTGACTTAGTATTCTAGTGTGAGGCTGAAGTTTAGAAGTGTGAAGTTATGTAATTTTTGCTCACTATTAGTAGATAGCATAGGGTAAAGTGTAAAATAGACAATATATCAATGTTTAAATGTAAAAAGTGCAGTATAGGTAATGTAAAATAAAGAAGCCAAAGGATGCTACTGTATGGCGTATCTTTTCTTATCTTAATCTTACCTTTTATTGATTGCACAGCCTCATTGCATTGCCATTAATATGATATAAATGTCCCTTACAGGAATTTCAAGACAGCAGAGAACAAAATAATCTGTAACTAAGGATGTCAAGATTATTCAGTACAAACATGTATACAGTTCTATTTTCATATAGTTTATTTATTTATTTGAATGGGACGACACATACTAATAAATAGTCAGTAGAGTAAATATACCATATTTAGCTTAGAGCTATATTGTTACCATCTGTATACTATGATGGATAAAAATAGATGCAACAAACAATGTACAGAACATACAACAGTACAAAATAGACATAAGGTCAGGACATGACAAAACAGTACAATTATCAGTAAACATGACATAACACAGTACAAACAAACACACATCGAAATGTAAACTTAAAGACTGCGTATGTCTCTTTAAATTTTCATTCAGAAAGTTTCATTTCTCAAAGCATGTCACATACTAGAGGAATGGTAATCTATTCAAAAATAAAAATTAAAGTGAATTAAAGGTCCTATTTTTCACAAAATTTATTTGTGTGATCTTTAAGTCATGTTAAAATGTTAACTCATCAAAAACCTATCCAGAGTTGTGTTTTATTTAATTCACACATATCTGAGTAATCCTGCAATATTAGGCCATACATCTCTAAAGCTCAAAATGCCTTGCTTCAACTTGAAATGTCATGTAGTGATAGTTTTCCAAGTTAAGAGCTACCTTTTACCTTTAGGTCAGTGGAAATGGGCAATTCTAGAGTTGAAATTATCCAAATGATTCTAGTGAAGATGTATGAAATTTATAAACACAGGGGAGCACTTCCTGTATTACCACATGACATCACAAGGTGGAACAGTGTGTTTTCTGTTTGAGAGAACAACACAGCCTAAATATGCAGGGTTTGTGTGTAAAGCATGTGTACATAGAAACAAAACACAACTCCACGTGTGTTTTTGATGAGGAAACAACATTATAACATAGATCATAAAACATAAAATATAGGCCCTTTAAAACTCACATGCATAACTACACATATTTTTGTTTATTGACGGGAGTTCATATGAATCCAACATGTAGTGACTTTTACGTAACTTGTTTGGTGAAGTCTCCTTCTCAACCAAAAAGTGATGTGAAAAGAATTTTAATTAGCCTAATCTAAAACAACAACAACAAAAAAATGGTTCGATCTTAGAAACCCCCATAATTAGAAGCTGTATTTAAAAGCAACTGTGCTGCAGGTTCTTCCACAGTCAGAGCTGGAAGTGAGTGAGTGAGTAAGTCTCCCTGCTGTAAGGTCACTTTGCGCTGTGACAGCCTGTGCTCAGACTAGAGCTGGCCTTCTTATCCTTTGGCCCCTCATGTCTTTGGCTTCAGCTAAACGTCACTAATCAATGACAGGCCTGACACTGCAGACGCACACCAGCAAACAGCACGCCAAGGACACCAAAGTTACATTTAAGTCATGATGCACAAACCTAAAGAAGCTTTTAAACTTTAAGAGGAGACATACTATGTTTTTTGGGATCTACGAAACTATAACATACTGAGATTAGGGGTGTGCAAAAATATTGAAATATCGATATATCGTATCGTTTAATGTGATTATACAGTATCAATATCGTTGGCTGCTGTATCGATACATCGCCAAGAGTATTTTATGGTATATTTTACAAAATTATTTTGTTATACCGCTACAGTTTTTTTGCTTGTTTAGTGGAAGAAATCTTGTTAAGCAACACATCTGACATTTTCACTGTTTTGATGATTCAAATTCCAGGCTATTGAGCACACCTGAATATAAGCTGCATCAACGAAATTTTAACAAAATTTTAAGATTGTACATATATAGGCCACACCTGAATATAAGACGCAGGTGTTCAGTCTACAAGAACGTTTTCAAGTTCGGGTCATCTGCTTTCATTGCCTTTGAAAGCTTTTGTCATCTTTTTGCATTGAGTCAGTTCGTCACACTGCCATCGCCAAAATCTCACCATCAACTCATTGATGCCAAACTCATGTGCAGCAGCTAAATTTTCTTCTTCGACAACCACATCAATTGCCGTTAACTAAAAAGCTGCATCAACTGCATTTCTTTGTGTGTTTTCCATGAGGAGGGTGTGTGTATGAAGCGTGAAAATAACAGTTCAAAACACAATCAAACACCATCTTCCTCGGCACATCACCCCCGTCTGTGCCTGCGTATGCCTACTGTGCATGTCTTCTGCAGAAAGAGCCACTGTCCTGTCTGTATCATGTCAGTGTCTTGTAGAATTTCAGCAGATTTCAGGCTCTCTCGGGAGTGGGGCTAGTTCTATCAATCAAGTATGAGTGGATGTCCGGATACTGAAGTTTGAGACGTTGCTTCTAGTCATTTATGCATACGGGTAAGACTTAGCCTTCTGACTAATGTTAATTTAGCATCATAACTTATTTTATCACACTAAGTGCTGCATTTAGGCTGCGCATGCATCCGCTGTGTTGCCAAACCATAGCCCGTATATATGAATGGACAATGTGTAGAAAAAAAAGTAGCGGCTTATAGTCTGGAATTTACTGCAGTGTGTTTCATATTCAGTTTGTACAAGAAATGGTTTAACAAAGGCTTTTAGTATCACAGCCATGATTCAGCCATTATTTTTTATTGAACTGTATTGAATAGATTTGATATATAACGTATTTAATTGAAAGCGCACTGTATCGAGATATATATCGTATCATGGCCTATGTACCGTATTGGCAACTTCTTAATGATACCTAGCCCTAACTGAGATCATAATTGCAATTTTGATCTAAAATGGCAAAATAATAGAAATGGGCCCATTGCTCAAAACTGAGAAGCTACACCTCTTCATAGTGGCACTTCATAGCACTGTTGGCGGGG